GGCGGGGTCCTATTTAAATAGGATAGTCAGGGAAGAGCTCCTATAGATATGATATTTCAACAGAGAAAATACTAACATAAAGGAATAGGCATGCAGAGGTTTGGGCGATGTTGTTCCAAGCAGCAGGAACAGTCAATAACAAAGTCCTGAAGGCAGGAATAAGCTTGCAGTGTTAGAGGAGCAAGCAGTCAATGCCATTAAAGGTGGATCACTCTGGGAGGCCGAGGCAGGAGGATTGCTCAAGGTCAGGAGTTCAAAACCAGCCTAAGCAAGAGCAAGACCCTGTCTCTACTATAAATAGAACGAAATTAATTGGCCAACTAATATATATAGAAAAAATCAGCCGGGCATGGTGGCTCATGCCTGTAGTCCCAGCTACTCGGGAGGCTGAGGCAGAAGGATCGCTCGAGCCCAGGAGTTTGAGGTTGCTGTGAGCTAGGCTGATGCCACGGCACTCACTCTAGCCTGGACAACAAAGCGAGACTCTGTCTCAAAAAAAAAAAAAAAAGAATGAATTTTTAGAAATGGTATTGTTGGGTTAAGGGATATACATATTAAACAGTTGATAAAATTGTCAGACTAGCCTCCAAAAACAGTATACCTATTTATCTTTCTACCAACAATGTATAAGCATGCCCATATCACAATATTTTTGCCAGCAGGAAAAAATCAGATAAGCAAAACAATTTTAATGTGCACATTTTTATTAGTAAGCCAGCTTTTTTATTGGTCATTTATTTGTACTACTTCTGTGAACTGCCTATTCATATCCTTTATCTTTATCCATTTTTCCAGTAGATATATACTTTCCTTACTGATTTGTAAGTGTTCCTTATATATTAAGAAATCTAGGCCGGGCGCGGTGGCTCATACCTATAATCCTAGCAATCTGGGAGGCCAAGGCGGGCGGATTGCTCAAGGTCAGGAGTTCAAAACCAGCCTGAGCAAGAGCAAGACCCCATCTCTACTATAAATTGAAAGAAATTAATTGGCCAACTAATATATACAGAAAAAATTAGCCAGGCATGGTGGCACATGCCTGTAGTCCCAGCTACTTGGGAGGCTGAGGCAGCAGGATTGCTTGAGCCCAGGAGTTTGAGGTTTGAGGTTGCTGTGAGCTAGGCTGACTCCAGGGCACTCACTCTAGCCTCGGCAACAAAGCGAGACTCTGTCTAAAAAAAAAGAAAAAAAAAAGAAATCTAACCGTGTCCACCACATTGCAAATATTGTTTCCCAGTCTGTTTTTCAGCTTTGCCCATGGTGCCTCTAATAAATAGAAGTGGTTCTGATTTACTTGTAGTGAAATCTGCCTTGTTCTTCCTTATATTTATATTGCCTGGCTCATTTTAGGCACCATTTAAAATTTACCTGTAGATAAGTCATTACTATTAAGGATTTTTGCCTTGGGGTAACAGCTCCCAAAAGCCTTTCTGTCACCTAGGCCAGAGTGCAGAGGCATGAAACCTCAAACTCCTGAGCTCAAGCAATTTTCTTGCCTTGGCCTCCCAAGTAGCTGGGACTATAGGCATGAGCCACCATATCTGACTTATTTTTCTATTTTTGTAGAGACAGGGTCTCTTGCTGAGGCTGGTCTTGAACTCTTGACCTCAAGCATTCCTCTTGTCTCGGCTCCCAAAGTGTGAGCCACAATGCCTGGCCCTTTAAGGGGTTTTTAAAGATTTAAATCTTAACTTCAGCTGGGGCACGGTGGCTCATACCAGTAATCCTAGCACTCTGGGAGGCCTAGGCAGGCGAACACTCAAGGTCAGGAGTTTGCAAACAGCCTGAGTAAAAGTGAGATCCCGTCTCTACTAAAAAATAGAAAGAGGCCCGGGTGCGGTGGCTCATGCCTGTAATCCTAGCACTTAGCACTCTGGGAGGCTGAGGCAGGTGGATCGCTCAAGGTCAGGAGTTCAAAACCAGCTCTAGCAGAGCGAGACCCAGTCTCTACTATAAATAGAAAGACATTGGCCAACTAATATATATAGGAAAAATTAGCCAGACATGGTGGTGCATGCCTGTAGTCCCAGCTACTGGGAGGCTGAGGCAGGAGGATCGCTTGAGCCCAGGAGTTTGAGGTTGCTGTGAGCTAGGCTGATGCCAGGGCACTCACTCTAGCCTGGGCAACAAAGTGAGACTCTGTCTCAAAAAAAAAAAAAAAAAGAAGAAAGAAATTAATTGGCCAACTAAAAGCATATATAGAAAAAAAAATTAGCTGGGCATGGTGGTGCATGCCTGTAGTCCCAGCTACTTGGGAGGCTGAGGTAAAAGGATCGCTTGAGCCCACGAGTTTGAGGTTGCTGTGAGCCAGACTGACACCATGGCACTCTAGCTGGGCTAGAGTGAGACTCTGTTTAAAAAAAATAAATAAATCTTAACTTCATCTGGAATTTATTCTGTGGTATGGGTGAAGTCAGGACGTTCTGACTCCTGATATAGCTGAACCCTCTCGCCAGCAAAATTATCCACAAATATAGCCACTTAACTTTATTCTCTCCAGCTAACTAGCCTCCTCTACTTAGCTCCATAAAGGAAGAAGTCCAAGTCACCAGCAGCTCTTCCCCCTAGGACTATCCTCCTCTCTCTGGCCTCTCTCTGCTTCCATTCTTACCCTTCCCTGCAATCAGTTCTTCACAGAGCTACCACAGGAGTGTTGTGTTTTGTTTTGTTTTTTAACTGTAAACTTGATGTCACTCTCCTGCTTTTAATTGTCCCATGACTTCCTCCAGGAAACAGAATTAAATCCTGACTCCTTAACATGATTTACAATATCCCATGTTTCTCCAGCCTATTTCGGTAACACTCTCCTCGCCTACTAAACTCCAGCCACACTGGCCGCCTTTCAGCCTCTAGGACAGGCCAAGTTCATTTCTCCCTCAGATCCCTTGGACTTACTGTTCCTTCTGCCTGAAAAGCTCTTGCCCTAGAATCTATGGTCTAGATGACCGGCTGCTTTTTATCATTCAGGTAACGTCACCTCCACAGACAGGCCTTCCCAGACCCTGACACCATCCCATCCAAAGCAGCCCCACCTCAGTGACTCTCCCGGCATTACCCTGTTACACTTTATTCCAAGCACTTGCCATTAACTGAATTATCTTGTTGACTCATTTATTCATGTTTATTGCCTGTCTCCCCTGCCTTTTTCCACAGAAAGTGCTCTGGAAATCAGGGTCCTTGTCTGTCGTGTTCAGCTCTGTATCCCCAGAGTCTACTGTGGCTATTATATAGCAAGTGTTCGATTAATATCTGTAGAAGGGGCGGGGGAAATCTGGGGTTTGTCTTCCTACCCAAACTTGCAAAGACTCCCTAGGATCCGTCTGATCTCGTTCAACGTCAGTAACTTTAGAGCGTGAAATCAGTCACCCCTCTCTCCCTCCTTCGCACATTCCAGCCAGGCCCCCATCTCCGACACTAAATGTGCTCAAATCCATGCAAAATCTAACTCCCGGAGGCTCGAGGCTGGACCCTGTATCGCCTTGGCGCTGCTAAGCCAAAATTCTAGCCGGTCACCAGCAGACAGCGGGAAGTGCCAAGTTTCCGCGGCCACCGTCCAGCCCCGCCCGCAGGCGCAGGGAGGAGGAGGAGGGGAGGGCAGAGCAACTTACCAGTTCATCCGGACTAAGGACTCCGAACTGCACTCTCTTGATGATGCGCAGCGGGCATGCGCTGTCCCCGGAGGGGGGGCCACCCCCGTGCATCGCGGAGGCAGGCGCGCTGCGCAGGCGCAAACCTCACTACAAAAAGCCTGCGCCGCCTCCGCCTAGGTGCTCAGACCCCGTCGGGGCGGCCGCCGGGAAGGACCTCCCCGAGTTGGGAGGAAAAAGGCCGAGGAGGGGGAAGGTGGGGGAGGGAAAGAGGCGGGGAAATAAAAAGGAACGAAAGGAGCTTTTCTCTCCCTTTCCGGAGATTTTTTTCGGCTCGCAAAAAGAAAAAAAAAAAGAGGAGGGGAAGGAAAAGGTTTTGGGGGTAGGAAGAAGAAAGAGGGTAACGAATAAATAAGTAACCGGGCTCCTGAACGGCAGAGGTTACGGCAGTTTGTCTCTCCCCCTTCCGGGAGCCGCCTTCTTCTCCAACCGTCCCGGCCGCGCTCTCGGCGCTTCTGAGAAGCGAACTCGCCGGATGACGCCTTTTATAGATTCGCCCCTGCATCCCCGCCCCTTCCTTTCCCGCCCTCCCTTGCGCTACGGGGCCGCCTGCGCCGGCCCGCACGGGGCGCGCGCTCGAGCCGTTGATCCTCCCTCCGCGGCTCCCTGGTTGGGCGGCCCTTAGAATGACGGGGAGGGGGGGATTTTTTAAATCCCGCCGCCTCCCCTCGCCGCTCCCTCCTGCGCTGAGGTTTAAGGTTTGAAGGACCAAGGGTAAAATTAGGCCGCTTTTATTCTAGTTTGGAGCACGGTTTCATCTTCAGCGGAGGTCTTTCATTAAAACACCCCCCCTCCAATTTGGAAAATGGTCTGTTCTGCGAATCGGTAATGGAGGCGGGTCCAGTTGGGTGCTCCCGAGTGGGTTCCTGGGGGGAGTGCAGGGGCAGTCCTTGGTCATGAATATGCAGTCTCGCGCTGAATATGCATGAGCAGATCAAGATGGCGAGGCCAATTGCTTGTCCGGAAGTAGCCGATATTTGTCAAGCGGCCTCCAGAGATGAGTGGGCATCTCTTGGCCTCTAAGGGAGCGCTGTACCAAGTCTTAGTCCTGGATCCCCGGCCTGAGCCGCTCGGAGAGGCCTCAGCTTGGAGGCCTGCTCCCGAAGGAGGCTGGCCACTGTCCGGGAGAGATCACTGGACCGCGACAGTCCGGGAAAAGCAGATTAGGCATGGGGCGGGACACGAAAGCCCTGGGGGATTTGGGGTCAAGGAATCTGAACATTAGGCAATCTTCCACCTTCTAGAATATTTCAGAAATAAGATGGAGGGCTGGGATCCCAAGGGATTCTCCAATAAGAGCAACTGTAGGACTTCCACTCTCCCTCCAAAGCAGAAATGACACCACTGCACAGCCACATTCAGAGTAATCCTTGTTTGATGTCAATGTCACATTACCACCCCAAGGTGGGGCACAACCACGAGGAAAGGAAACCTTGGCCCAGCGGGAATCCCCTCCCCCAGTGCAGCTGCTTGCTCTGTCTTCGCCCTAACACCTGGGAACACTCCAGCCCCAATGCTCTTCTCTCTGCTGCTGAGGGAAGTCCTCCCCATGGCCCACAGCCTGCCTGCCTCTGCCCCTTGGATCTGCTCCTCAGACTTTATCCCTTAGTTAAGACCTGATTCCTAGGACCTGGCCTAGACTCTACATCCCTTGGTCCCCGGGCTTGTTTCCAGGTCTTCCATGTACTCCCTCTCTCTCCACCATCTCCCCAAGTCACCCTTGACTCCAAGAGGTGTCCCTCTCCCACACCAGTTCTTTTCCAGTCACTGATTTGCCCATGTTTGTATTTCAGTCTCTCTATTTACCCCTGCCCCCCCAACCCCCAGGCTCTCAAATTTGATGTCACTCCTCCACCTGCCCTTCCTTCTCACAGCTGAGGTTCTGGGCCGTGATGATGGCAATGCTGCCCAACACAACCCCTGCCCCCATGATGTCAGAAGGTGCCACAGTCTCATAGAGCACGTAATACTGCAGCATCAGGGCCACCACCACCTCAGAGTGCAGGACAGCACACACCAGGGCAGGGTGGGCCTTGGTGACTGCATAGCTCACACACACAAAGGAGACCAATGCAAGGATCCCCACTGCCCCCACACAACTCCAACTCAGAGGGTCATTAGGCAGCACAGGGGTCTGCAGCACAAAAAGGCCTGGCACAGAACCCAGCAGCCCCACCAAGCCAAATAGGAAGGCCACTGTCGGCAGGCAGGAGGGGAAGTGCAGGGAACGATAGACCAGAAGCCCCAGCGACAGTGCCAGGCCTCCCAGGAAAGCCAGTACATAGCCCAGAGCAGTGTAGAGGCCCGTGGTCCCCTCCTGCAGTGTCCCTAGTCCAGGTCCCACAATGATGATTAGTCCCAGGGTGCTGCCCAACAGTCCACACCAGTCGTAGCCGCTGAGACCCTGGCTCTCGAGGCAGAGGGCAAGGAGAGCAGAGCAGACAGTGGAAGAGCCTTTGCGAACTGTGGCAGCATTGCCAGCAGGCACCACCTGAACAGCACTGTAGGCACATCCAATGCTGAGGACGTTGAGCAGGGCGTGGAGGCAGGCCCGGCCTCGGACATCAGGAGGTCCCAACAGTGGGTCGCCACGCAGTTTAAGTAGCAGGGCAATGGGGAGATGAAAGAGGCATCGGCAGATGAGCAGCTCCAGTGAGGGAAAGTGGGAAGCCTGGTAAGCCATACGGGAGAAGGGGCCCACGAAGCCAGCGGGCAGGCCCCCACCCAGCAGGGCCACGAGCAGGCCCTTGGTGGCATCGGAGGGCCGGCAGCAGCGCTGGTGCGAGGGGAGGCTGGGCGGAGTGGAGGGCGGCGATGGCTGGGTGAAGTCGGGCAGGTTGAAGTAGGGGTGACTGCCAGCCTGTTAGGGAGAAAGGAGCTCGGGCATGAGGGCAGCCACAGCCTGGGGAGCCTGGGACAGGGCAATGCCAGGCTGGGGGTCCAGGACCCTGTGGGACAGAAGAGGGGCAGGCTCTCTTGCTGAGGAACTCTTAGGAAGAGTTCCTAAAAACCCTAGAAAGGGCCTGAAAGATGGATGAGGTGGTACAATGTGGGCCTGGAGCATCTAAAGCAGGAAGCAGGGAGTGAGCAGTCCTGAAGCATCGTATTTCTCTGGGTAAGTTGTTCCTGGGAGGAGAAAAAGGACCCAGGGATGCTCTGTTGGTTTGAGGAAGGGCAGGTGGCCTCAGATGCTGTGTGTCTGTGTGATGTCACAGGTTCCAGCGACATCTGGGTACAACATGATGAATTTCATTTGTGAGTGTCTCTAGGGTAGCTGGGAAGTTTTATGGGAGGAGGGGAAGGGGAGCAGCCAGGAGCTACAGGGAGGGAGTGTTGCCCTATGTCCCCCCTGGCCCCCACACTCACCATCTTTCCTTGGACTTCCTCCTCTCCTCCTGGCTCTGGGGGCCTGGGCCCCTCAGAGCTCCAGCCATTGTGACCTGGTTGGAGTGGGGGTGGGGTTCTTCCCTGGAACCTTCCTCAGGTGGTGGTGGGCCTATTTTCTCATTGATTCCAACTCTCCATGTTTTATATTTATGTCTCCATGACTCCAAAATTTGTCTGATTTTTTTTCTCCTTATGACTAGCTCTGTGGCTTTAAATTGTTTATTTATGTTTTGCTTTGATTCAGAAAGGTCTTAAGGAAAGGGGCTCTGACAGCTGGCTCCTCTGACTCCTCCTGAGTTTTTAATTTTCCAACACCAAGGGAGGAGTCCTTCCCATTGTCCCTGCGGAGTTTCAGAAATGTGTTTCTTCTGTGTGCTTCCACCTGGTGTTTTGTTGGTGCTGTCCAAGGAGGCCCACACCAACGGCTCTGCATTTATGCACAAGTATATAAATGTGGATATTTCTATTGGTGGGGACAAAAGTCCCAAGCTGCATGTTCATCTGTGCTGGTGGTCAATGATGTGTGCCAGTGGTGTAGCGCTGGGGCCTTCCTTGCCGGTGGCCTGGTGTGGGTCCCTGAACATTCCTTGGGAGTGCGTGTGTGTGTCCAGGGCTGTCCCTGTCAGTGTGCTGCCCCTACGTCTGTGGGTCCCACTGGGGCTGATTGTGAATCTGCCATGTTGTGTGTCTGCGCCCTGACAGCAAGTGTGTTTTGCTCTCAGGCGGTGTGCACAGCCCAGCGAAGGGCGTGTGGGGGGAGTCCCTTCCCAAGGAGTGGGTGGTCGTGAGACCCTGCGGGGGGTGCTGCAGCGCGCCGCGCCCCGCTCGGTATCCACCCGCCCGGTGGCCCAGCGTGGCTCGGTGTCCTGCGCGGATCCGTCCCGGCGAACGCCGTCGGGCGCTCGGAGCCTAGTGTTGGTGTCGGCTGCGCTGCGCCGGCCTCCTCTCGGCGGCGGCGGCGCTGGGGGGGGACTGTTTCCGGGGGTGGGGGTGGGGGTAGGACCGGGGCGGGGGGAGCGATGATGTCAGCGGCGGCGGCGGCGGCGGCGGCGGGGCCGGGCCGGGGCCAGGCGCTGGGGGGGCCGGGGCCGGAGCCGGAGCCGGAGCCGCAGCTGGAGGCGGGCGACACCGGAGCGGCCGGGGGCGGCCAGGGTGATGAGCCGGGCCTGGCGGACGCGGCGCCATCGCAGTCAGGTGGGCCCCGGGGCGAACCGGGCAGGGCCAGGGCGGACCGGAGCCAACTGCCGGGCCCCCTTTCCCGCTGCCCGGCGCCGCGGGGGCCCTGGCCGCGCCCGGCGCCCAGACCGCTAGCCTTTGGGGTTGACCTGGGGGCTCAGGGGTCGGGGGCTGAGCCTGGCCCCGCCCCCGGGCGCGCGCGCGACGCTGGGGGGCGACTAAGGGGGCCCGGGTATGGCGTCCAAGCGAGCAGCGGCGGGGGGGGGGCGGGGGTGGGACGCGATCGCCTGGGGCAGTGGAAGGGGACGTGCTTACTCCCTCTTTGAAGGGTTAATTCTGCAGCCTAATGTCCCCCTCCCCCAGTGGGGCAGGTTGGGGGTGGGGTGGGGCGGGTGTGAGCCCGGGCAAGCGCTGCAAGCTGCTGGGAGGGCGATGGCGTAGGAGCCAGGCAGAGAGGGGGAGGGGTGGGCCGCCCAGCGCCCCAGAGTTGGGGTGTGCGGGGTGCGCAGGGCGAACTGGGGCCCCGGAACCGCCGCGCCGTCGGGGCAGGGTTGTGGCTGTGAGTTTTGGAGATTGTGTCTCGTGCTGTGTTGTGGGTCAAGGTAAACCTCTCCTGGGCACCACCGTTTGCTGGTCTGGCAGCAGGGATCCAGATAGTGCCCTCCCTGGGCTATGGAGATAGAAAACCAGGAGGGGTGTCCAGTGTTGTGGGGCAGAATTACAAGATGTGGCCCTGTGGCTTTGGGTGACAGATGGGCATTCTAAGCAGGGCACGATACTGCTGTGTGCGGAGTTTTTTCAGTGTGGGGTTGTATGTATGTTTTCTACCAGCATGTGTTTTTTTGCATGTATGTCTTGTGTTGCACATACAAACTGTTTATGAACTGTTTTCTGCACATCTGGCATGGTGTATTGTGTTGTGGAGGGCGCCAGAATGCAGGGTGTATGTGCCCATTTGGAGGGGGTGGTTGTAGACCTTTGAGTCAGAAGGCGTCATGTCTGGGTCCCATTTCTGTAGCCTTGCTGAGGTGTGGTCCAGTTGTGGAGGACAGGCCAGAAGATGGGTTTGTGTGTCTGTGATGAGCGAGTCACTTGGGGGCTGCACATCTAGAACTCAGATCCTGCAGATCATGAGGGGATGAGAAAGCCCAGGGTGTGTCTTGGGTGCCCGTAGCTCAGCTGACATCGGTGTGAGGGGCTTAGGGTAGGATGTGCCAGTTGTGTTTATGGGATCTTAGGCAGCCAAGCAAGAGGAAGGTCTTGTGTTTGCAACATTCTCCATGGGATTCTTTTGTGACGTTGTTTGTGGGAGCCTGTCTGGGCTGCTGGGCTGGGAGGCGAGCTGGTCAGAAAACACATGGGAGGGAGGTGGCATGACAAGGGCAGTGTGGGCCTCAGACCTGAGAGACCTGCTGCAAGCTGTGTGTGTGTGTGCGTGCGTGCCTACCTTCTGCGCGCTTTAGTGGTGGTGGGACTGCCGGGGGCAGAGGGAGAAGGCTGTGGGGGGGAGATATGTTATGAGGAAGGTGCCAGATAAATGCGGGGCAGAGCAAGGGCAACAGGCGGAGGCATGGGTGTTGTGGGGTGGCCCAACTAGTCTTCTACAGGGTCGGTGTGCTTGCCCCGAACTGGCCTGCCTGGCGTGTCAGGGTCACCCGGAGGAGAGGCTGGGCGGCTGCAAGGGAAGTGAGCTTAGACAGAGTGGCTCCCTGGCCATGTTTATGTAAAGGCCGGGTGTGACTCTTGTCACTAAAATGGAAAAAAGAAACGTGAAGTTTTCAGCCTCCTCCCGCTTCGCCCCCACCCTCTCTCTGCCCCCCTTGCGGGTATCTCTGACGCACGCAGGGCCCCACTGCTGCAACTGTGGAAGGGCCTCGGGTCGGAATTCGCTCGCTAGGCAGATTCCTCAGAACAGGTTTTCCTCACCTTTGGGGCCTGGGCCCTTCTGTAGGAGTGTGTGTGTGTGTGTGTGTGTGTGTGTGTGTCTCCAACCCTGCACACCACTGTGTACTGTGCCTGGCCTGGCAGGGAGGATGTGTACACACTGGGGACGGGAGGGCACAGGGGCCGGGAGGGGGCTGGCTGCTGTGCAAAGCCTGTACAACAGGTGCGATGACGATGACAGTGGTGAAGGAGAAGGAGCCCTAGATTAGAGCTGAGTTCTGGCGGCTCTGCCACTTCCTTACTGGCACTTTACCCAAGTGAGCCTCAGTTCCTCATCTGTAAAGTGGGGCTAATTACCTGCCCTACCTGTCTTCCAGCAGCACATGGGTAACAGACCTGGAAAGTGACTACAGTTTGGGGGCTGTGCCATTGCCATCCCCCGTCAGTCTTCTGCTAGCACTGAGAATCCCCTTCTCTAGACTTTCCTAGTAACAGTAGCAGCAAACACTTATTTAGCACTGACTGTGTACCAGGCACTGTTCTCAGTGCTTTTACATGCGTCACTCAATCCTCACAACTGTGCAAGTAGGAGCTCTAATTACCTCCCTTTTTCAGGTGATACAGCCAAGGCCAAGAGAAGTTAAATAATTTGCCCAAAGTCACTTAGCTAGAAAGAGGTAAAGCTATATTTGAATGCAGGCAGTCAGGTTCCACATCCTGTGTTCTTAAACTGTTGTACTCTGCTGCCCTTCTGGAGCATTCGATGGACCTTTCTGCACCCCCACACACACGCACACGCCCTCTTCTCCCCAATTTCTGCAGGTCTCAGCAACTGCACCAGTCCATCTCAGAAAACCCGTGTGCTCAGGGAGTCCCAGCCTAGGGCGTGAGATGCTAAATCTCTGCTGCTGTATAATGTGGGTGCTGGCCATAGGGGTACAAAAGGCTGATGAGTCAGAGAAGAAATTGTCCTTGTCCTGTGGGTCAGGGAGGGCCAAGGAGGTGGCATTTGGGTTAGATCTTAACATTCTGGAGGTATTTGAGAAGAGATCGGGGAAAGGACATTTCTGGCAGGAGAGCCGGCACGGGCAGAAGCATGGGGGTGTAGGATGTGTAGAAGCTGGAGAGCACACTGGGTGTGTTTTTCTTTTTTAGAGATAGGGTCTCACTGTGTTGCCCAGGTTGGACTCGAACTCCTGGGCTTAAGCGACGCTCCTGCCTCAGCCTCCTGAGTAGCTGGGACTCCAGGTACGTGCCACTGTGTCTGGCTCACACTGGGTGTTTGAAGAGAGCACAACATAAGGCAAGATCAAAAAGGAAGATTGAAGCTAGACCAGAGCCCTTAAATGTCTGGTGGAGGAATCTGAACTTTATTCTGGAGTCAGCAGGGACCACTGAAGGTTTCTGAGCCCAGGCGTGGTGATACCTGAGCTGTCATTAGGGATGTTGACCCTCAGTGGGAGGAGAGTTGGGTGGAAGAAGGTGAGCCTGGAGGCTGGGGGATAGTTGGCAGGCCATGGCCTGGGACTGCCGGAGTATTAACAAGGACCTGAGCTAGTTTGGGGACCAGAGGCGGGTTGAAGGGAAGGCTTCCAGAGCTATTCCCAAGCTCTGCCACAGTTTCAGCCAGACTTATGACTGCTGGATGTGGAGCAAGGGAAAGGGTGGAGTCAGACATGACACATTTAGCACTTAGCACGTGAGACCTTGTGTGGTGATTTATGTAACCAGCTGGCTGCCATAGGCCCCTTCAGGGCAGGAGCCAGCAGTATGGCACAGGGAAAGATTCAGCATCTGGGGTCAGCTGGGCCTGGATTCAAATCTCCACTGCTACTTACAGGCTGTGTGACCTTGAGCCAGGTACATCCCTCTCTGAGCCCGTTTCCTCTACAGTAAAATTGGGATAATACCCCATTATTTCAAGATGGCCTTTGAAACAGGATGGTTTGATGATGCCCGATATTGAGAGGAGCTTTCTGCCTTGTAGGTGGGTGGGCCCTCCTGGCCAAGGTATCTCTTCCTGTCTTTGAGGTAAGATGTCATATCTGAGAAAATGTTGCCAGTGACCCCTGAGTCTGGGGTACACAGACTGGTGTTCCTTTTTTTTTTTTTTGAGACAGAGTCTCACTCTGTTGCCCGGGCCAGAGTGCCGTGGAGTCAGCCTAGCTCACAGCAACCTCAAACTCCTGGGCTCAAGTGATCCTTCTGCCTCAGCCTCCCAAGTAGCTGGGACTACATGCATATACCACCATGCCCGGCTAATTTTTTCTATATATTTTAGTTGGTCAATTAATTTCTTTCTATATTTTAGTAGAGACAGGGTCTCACTCTTGCTCAGGCTGGTTTCGAACCCCTGACTTTGAGCTATCCCCTGCCTCAGCCTCCCAGAGTGCTAGGATTACAGGCGTGAGCCACCGTGCCCAGCCCAGACTAGTGTTAAAGTCTCACTGTTCTCAGTTCTGTTTTTTGTTTTTTTTTATGTTTTCTTTTTTATTTATTTATTTATGTTTTGAGACAGTCTCACTCTGTTGCCCAGGCTAGAGTGCTGTGGCATCAGCCTAGCTCACAGCAACCTCAAATTCCCAGGCTCAAGCAATCCTTCTGCCTCAGCCTCCTGAGTAGCTGGGACTACAGGCATGCGCCTCCATGCCTGGCTAATTTTTTCTATGTATTTTTAGTTGGTCAATTAATTTCTATTTTTAGTAGAGACCGGGTCTCGCTCTTGCTCAGGCTGGTTTTGAACTCCTGACTTTGAGGGATCTGCCCGCCTCCGCCCCCCAGAGTGCTAGGATTACAGGCATGAACCACAGCACCCAGCCTAGTTCTGTTGCTTTTAATGGGTTCCTCCTTGGAATGTGTGTGTGTGTCTCTGTCTGTGTAAATAAAGGTAGAAAAACAAAATGGGTGGCCGTTTTGAGGCTATCATTAAAGGAGGCAAGGCAGGTGAAGCACCCAGAAGTGTATCCGGCAAATTGTGAGTGTCCCAGAAGTGGTCAAGTACTCAGTCCAGTACTGAGGATGCTTCTTTCCTGAGGGTGGATGGACTCCAGGCAGACTTTGAGGGCAGGCTCATTCATTTCCAAAACATGTTTTACCTCCCATTATGTGCTAGGACTATTCTAAGGATTGGGGATACTGCAGTGAACAAAGCCAACAAAAATCCCTACTCCCCATCCTTTGGAGCTTACATTCTAGACATAAATGAGCAATATGGTTTTTTTTTTTTTTTTGAGACAGAGTCTCACTTTGTTGCCCAGGCTAGAGTGAGTACCATGAAGTCAGCCTAGCTCACAGCAACCTCAAACTCCTGGGCTCAAGCAATCCTAATGCCTCAGCCTCCCAAGTAGCTGGAACTACAGGCATGCACCACCATGCCCAGCTAATTTTTTCTATATATATTAGTTGGTCAATTAATTTTTTTCTATTTATAGTAGAGACGGGGTCCCACTCTTGCTCAGGCTGGTTTTGAACTACTGACCTCGAGCAATCCACCCGTCTCAGCCTCCCAGAGCGCTAGGATTACAGGCGTGAGCCACCGCGCCTAGCCAAGCAATATGTTTTACTAAGTGCCAAGGAGAAAAATAAAGTAGGGTAGGGGGGATAGGAAGTTATGGGAGGTGGGGGGTGACCAGGGAAGGCCTCCAGGAAGGTGACTTTTGAGTCAAGGCTTAAAGGAAGTGGGGCAGTGAAGCACAAGGCTATCTGGAGGAAAGCACATTCCAGACAGAGGGAACAACAAGAGGTAGAGCATGTCTGGTAGCCATGCGCAGATTCCCCACCTCAGTGGCACCTCTGAGGTACAAGCAGTCAAGAGGAGAGAAACAGAACAAACAAAACATTTAAAACCACAGAGCCACCAAACTTACCACAAAGCCCGATTTCTGCCTCTTTTTCTTCAACACTTCTCCCTACCGTTTTCTGGGGCCGAGTTCCAAGATCTAGGTACTGCCAGTCATTAGCTCATTTAATCTTTACAACTGCCCCACAGAGTGAGACCTATTCATCACTCCCCCCTTATAGACAAGGAAACTGAGTATAAAGACGCTACGTAACTTGCCCAGGGTCACAAAGCTAGTATCTTCTCCACCTCCCATCAGCCCTTGCAAGGCAGTAGCCAGGCATAGGGCACTGGAACTCAGGAGAGCTGAGTCCAAACCCCAACTTGGTTAGCGCTTGGTTCCCTCGACCTGAAAGGGAGGAGTTTGGAGTATTCAATTTCTCTACACCAGAATCCTCACTGTGGTCACTGAGTGTTGGAATGAGGTGATGCAGATAAAATGCTTAGCACTACACTTTGCACATAATAAGTATTTCATAAATGGCAGCTACAGAGACCATGATGATGATGATTCTGGGTGATGTCCAATGGCCAGTCCAGCTTCGTATCTTTGTTGTTCTAAGAAGCCCTGTCAGGCCTTGTTCAAGTATTGTAGCAGTCAGGTAGCCACCAAGCACACCGAATATGGTGTGGGTGAGCAGGGCTGGCCAAGGGGGTGAACGGGGACTGGAATTGAACCTCAACTTTGTTCACCTGTGCAGGCTGCTATCTCCTGGGGGAAGGGGCCTTCTAATTTTCAGAAAAGCACCCGATGGGATATTGGTGCCCTAGCAGGGGACTTCATTGTGGTATGGTGAAGTCATCAGGAACACAGGCTTTGGAGCCAGACTTCCTGGGATCAGATCCCAGCCTTGCTACTAACTGGTCATATGGCCTTGGGCATCTCTAGCATCTCTGAACCATAGTCTGTCATTTTAAAGTAGGGAAGCTAACTTTTACCTTTCAGAGTAGTGATGAGGAGCAAATGAGATGCTATTAATACAAATAAAGCACTGACTCTTGGGGTCCCAGTGGGCCAGTGGCTGTCATGGAAGGGAGTGGGAGGCCTGAACACTAGCCATGGGATTCCCAAATTGTCCACGATTCAGCAGCTGACAAGAAAGCATTTGACCCTGATCTATGCCTGACAGTCAGGGTTGTTAAAACTTTTGAATATCACCCCTGTTTACCACCTTCCTTCTTCCTATCCAGGATAGATGTCAGAAAAATCTTTTGGGGCATGTGAGATGGGGTATGTGTGAGGGGAACGCCTCTGAATCCAGATAGTATGTGTGATAAGTGGGAAAAGAACATTTTTCAGGGGATTGTATGAGGGACTCCTGATGCAGGATACCTGTTGGGACATGTGTGACTCAGGGCATTTGGAAGATGCCCCCAAAGAGAGGCGAGAGCTCCCAGGCTTCGTGGAGGGCAGATAAGAAGGGCTCAAGAGCTCTGCTCTCAGGTCAGCAGGCCTGGATCTGCGAACAGACTTCCCTCACCTGTTATCACCAGGTCTGTGTGACTTTGGATGAGCCGCCCAGCAAGAGGTGAGGTAGGGGTTGCAGTTCCCCTCTTTTTAAGCCAAAGTCCCTAAGCCACCAGGTCTCAGTAAGGAGTGAGGCCCAAGTCTCCTCACTCCTAGTCTGGTTACCTTTCCAGTGCCCTCCAGAGACTTGATCAAGCTGGTATTTGTATGAGTCAGTGGTCTTCAGTGGTCACCTGGCAACTGGGCCAGAAACACCCCCCCTCTAAGATTAATGGGGTTTGGGGTATGTGAAGAGGTCCCCTCCTAATTTGAATACCTACCATATTAGGTCCAATAAAAAAGCTCATACAAATATATTTACTTTTTTGTTGTTTTTGAGACAGAGTCTCACTCTGCTGCCCAGGCTACAGTGCCGTGGCGTCAGCCTAGCTCACAGCAACCTCAGACTCCTGGACTCAAGCTATCCTCCTGCCTCAGCCTCCTGAGTAGCTGGGACTACAGGCATGCGCCACCATGCCCGGCTAATTTTTTCTGTATATTTTTAGTTGGCCAATTAATTTCTTTCTATTTTTAGTAGAGATGGGTCTTGCTCTTGCTCAGGCTGGTTTTGAACTCCTGACCTTCAGCGATCCATCCGCCTCGGCCTCCCAGAGTACTAGGATTACAGATGTGAGCCACCACACTAAAATATATTTAGATGTAAACAAGACCACTATGGTAAAAGACAATCTTTTGATTTCCTCTGAGCCCCAAAATTGGACCAAAGGGACTTGAGAGTGATCTGCCAGGCTTCCCTGAAACTATGGGATTGAACTGTGCTGCTGTATTGTTTGGAGGTGAATCAGAATATGCAAATTATCTTGTTGCTGTTAGTCTCTGGGCCAGCAGAACACGGCTCTGCAATAATGTGTGTGGCTCCCTAGATTTGATAGTACACAGCTAAACAAGTAACCTGACAAGGCTCCTGGGAGAGATCAGGATTTGCAGAGCAGCCCAGATGTCCTCTCTGACCCCAACACTGTGCCACTTCCCACTTCCTGAGGTCCTTTCCTTCCCAGTTTCCTTCCTGAGGACGCTTTCCTGCCTCTTCCTCTAAGTCCCCCGACATGGTTTCTGTTTCTCTACAGAAAGAACAGGCCCAGCAGAAGGGACTCGCTGAGCCACCGCCCGCTCTGCTCCATGTTGGCTGTGCTCTCAGGTAAGACGTGCTGAGAGAACCGCAGCTAGGAAAATTAGACCCAAGGCAGCAGGCCAGCGAGGGCAGCCATTTTGTCTAGGCTGGGGAGTTCTGCGAAATGGCTATCAGTAGTTGTGGGAGCTTCCTCCTTCTCCCAGTGAGAGAGAGATTTCCATTGCTTACTTCTCTAGGCTGTGGCTTTAGAGGTCATGGCCCCTTCACCTTCACCATGACCTGAGGTATCCCTGGCCTCTTCCAGCCCTAGATGTTAGACATACTGGCCTCTGACATTGGCCAGACTTGGGTGGCTAAGGGTTAACTTCTGTAACCTGAAGTTATTCAGCCTTCTACTAGTTTTTGACCAGTCCCTGACCCCCTCCTAGCTCACCTCCCTGATCTTAGAGGGCCCTGTCCCTCTGCCCAGCCTCTAAGACTCTGAGACTCTTCCCTGGCCTTTTCTGCTGTCTAGGCTGGCGCCATGCCCCCTCCTGCAGAGGTGACGGACCCGTCCCACGCCCCTGCCGTCCTGCGCCAGCTCAATGAGCAGCGGCTCCGTGGCCTCTTCTGTGACGTCACCCTCATAGCTGGAGACACCAAGTTCCCTGCTCACCGCAGTGTCCTGGCTGCTTCAAGTCCCTTTTTCAGAGAGGCTCTGCTCGCTTCAGCCCCACTGCCCCTCCCACCAATTACTGGGGGCTCAGCTCCCAACCCTGCTGCCACCACAGCTGCCTCTTCTTCTTCCTCTTCTTCCTCCTCTTCCTCCTCCTCCTCCTCCTCTTCCTCCTCCTCCTCTCCCCCTCCAGCCTCTCCCCCTGCTTCATCCCCACCCCGAGTCCTGGAACTGCCAGGGGTCCCAGCAGCTGCCTTTTCTGATGTCCTCAATTTCATCTATAGTGCCCGGCTTGCACTACCTGGTGGCGGAGGGGACGGGGCAGCTGTAGCAGAGATCGGAGCTTTGGGACGTCGGCTGGGCATCTCCCGCCTGCAGGGCCTGGGGGAGGGAGGCGATGCCTGGGTCCCTCCCACCCCAGCCTCCATGGCCACCTCACATCCTGAAGACAACAGCTTCGGGCCTGGGCCTAGACCAGCTGTGGAGTGGGAGGGTGACGGGGCTGAGGCCCAGGGCCCTGACTTACATCCCCCATTGTCCCGGCGGCCCCTCCCCTGCCCCCGATGTGGAAAAAGCTTTATCCATCCCAAGCGGCTGCAGACCCATGAGGCCCAGTGCCGACGGGGTGTCAGCACTCGGGGGTCTACAGGGCTGGGGGCCGGGGGCTCTGGCCCCGGTGGTCCTGCAGGAGTGGATGCCTCAGCTCTGCCCCCGCCCGTGGGCTTCCGAGGCGGCCCCGAGCACGTGGTGAAGGTGGTGGGCGGCCACGTGCTGTACGTGTGTGCGGCCTGCGAGCGGTCCTACGTGACGCTGTCCAGCCTGAAGCGACACAGCAACGTGCACTCATGGCGGAGGAAGTACCCCTGCCGCTACTGCGAGAAGGTGTTCGCCCTCGCTGAGTACCGCACTAAGCACGAGGTGTGGCACACCGGGGAGCGCAGGTGAGTAGCCAGGGGCCAGTACTCAGAGACCACAGGGACAAGGGAGGGAATAAGCAGTGCAAGGGGCCTAGACAGTCATCCTGAGACTAGCCCTGCTTACCCTCACTCACCCACCTGCCTCCCTCCAGCCCCAGTTCCTTCAGCTGATGTCAGTCAGCACCCCCTCTACATGCTGTGTCCCCTAAAAGGAAAGAGAAATTTGCCTTCACTGGAAAGGACTGTGGAAGTGCAGGCATGCCCGGCAATAGTTACAATACTCAGAACAGTGTCTTGTATTTCCATATGCAGCCCCGTTCATAAGTCATTTCCCTGTTCTGTCATTCGGGCTTCAGAAGGTGGCTGTGTGAGTTAGGCTGGGTCCCACATGGAACAGCTGAAGCCAAGTCTCACAGCCAGTGGGGGGTGCTGAGCTTAGGATGGTGGCCCTCCTGAGGCTGGCAGGGTGAGACAAACAGCATGAAAGGGGGCGAGCAAATGACTGGGGAAGTTGTAGGCTTGTGTGGAGGGCAGTAGAGGACCTGGGAAGCTGAGGCCCTACCTTCAGGGCCCTTGACTCAAGTGGCTCTGTTCCTGCCCTATTCCCTGCTGTCCTGGCCCAGGTACCAGTGCATCTTCTGCTGGGAGACCTTTGTCACTTATTATAACCTGAAGACCCACCAGCGAGCCTTCCATGGCATTAGCCCGGGCCTCCTAGCCAGTGAGAAGACACCCAATGGAGGCTACAAGCCCAAGCTCAATACTCTCAAGCTGTACCGCCTACTCCCCATGCGGGCAGCCAAGCGGCCCTACAAGACCTACAGCCAGGGAGCTCCAGAGGGCCCCCTTTCTCCAAACCTCAACACACCGGCCCCTGTGGCAATGCCAGCCAGCCCACCACCCAGACCTCCACCTGTCCCAGAGCCTGGCCCCCCACCCTCTGTCATCACCTTTGCTCACCCAGCCCCCTCTGTCATTGTCCATGGGGGCAGTAGCAGTGGTGGAGCGGGGGGTGGGCCGGCCAGCACGGGAGGGTCCCAGGCTGCCTCGGTCATCACTTACACTGCTCCCCCGAGGCCTCCCAAGAAACGGGAGTACCCACCTCCTCCCCCAGAGCCTGCAGCCACACCCACCAGCCCAGTCACAGTGGTCAGCCCAGCCACGGCTGCAGGGCCAGCCACGGCCACCACCACAGAGGAGGCCAAGGGCCGGAATCCACGGGCTGGGAGGACTCTGACTTACACAGCCAAGCCAGTGGGCGGGATTGGCGGGGGCGGGGGTCCCCCTGCAGGGCCGGGCCGGGGCCCCTCTCAGCTACAGGCTCCACCTCCACTGTGTCAGATCACTGTGCGAATCGGGGAGGAGGCCATTGTCAAGCGCCGCATCTCAGAAACTGACCTGCGTCCTGGGGAGCTGAGTGGAGACGAGGTGGAGGAGAGTGAGGACGATGAAGAGGAGGAGGAAGACGAGGAGGAGGAGGACGAGGAGGAATCAAAGGCTAGTGGGGAGGACCAGCTCTGGAGACCCTACTACTCGTACAAGCCTAAGCGCAAGCCTGGAGCTGCCGGAAGTGGCGGTGGTAGCAGTGGGCTGCCCCGAGGCCGCCGGCCACCACGTTGGAGGCAGAAGCTGGAACGGAGGAGCTGGGAGGAGACCTCAGCAGCCGAGAGCCCAGCAGGGCGTGCCCGCACTGAGCGGAGGCACCGCTGTGGGGACTGTGCCCAGACCTTCGGCACCCTGAGGAAGCTGCGAAAGCACCAGGAGGCCCATGGTGGGGGCTCCCACAGCTCCCGGGCTGGACGGAGGCCTTCCACCCGCTTCACCTGCCCCCACTGCGCCAAGGTGTGCAAGACGGCAGCCGCTCTGAGCCGCCACGGGCAGAGGCATGCTGCTGAGCGCCCAGGGGGCACCCCCACACCTGTCATTGCCTATTCCAAGGGCAGCGCTGGCACCAGGCCTAGGGATGTCAAGGAGGAGGCCCCCCAAGAGATGCAAGTCTCCTCATCCAGCGGGGAGGCAGGTGGCGGGAATGCTGCTGCTGAGGAAGCTTCCGAGACCGCCTCACTCCAGGACCCTGTCATTTCAGGGGGTGAGGAGCCCCCGGTGGTGGCAGGAGGGGGCAACTATGCATACCCACCTGTGCAGGAATTTCCACTGGCCCTCATTGGGGGCAGCCGGGATCCTGGCGGTGGCAGGGGGAAACTTGGGAGTGAGGGGCCAGGGGTTGCTGGTGAGGAGGACCGGATAGAAGGGATGGGGGCTGCCAAAGTCACCTTCTACCCTGAGCCCTACCCACTTGTCTATGGCCCTCAGCTCCTTGCAGCCTACCCTTATAACTTCAGCAACTTGGCTGCTCTCCCAGTTGCTCTCAACATGGTCCTACCTGATGAGAAAGGAGGGGGGGCCCTTCCCTTCCTACCAGGGGTCTTTGGCTACGCAGTGAATCCTCAAGCGGCACCCCCTACTCCCCCAACACCACCCCCCCCAACTCTTCCTCCACCAGTTCCCCCTAAGGGAGAAGGGGAAAGGAAAGGGCTTGAGAGAACCCAAAAGGGAGATGTGGGGTGAGCTCTGGGACCAGGTCCCCCTTTCACCAGATGCCACCCTCCCTGAACCCTCCACCACTACCAGCTCTCTGGCCTCCCTGCCCCTTGGGAGCCCCTCCACACTCTTGTGCAGGGACTTGGGGGCTCCTGGAGCTCAGGGGTCAGGCTGCTTTGTGTGAGATTGTAGTTTTCCCATCTCCTGGGAAGGGATCTTTGGTGGTTCCCCTCTCAAGCTTCCTCCAGGGAATGGCCTCCATGAGGGGCAGGGCCAACTCCCATCCTTACTCCAGCCCTTCGGGCAACTGAGCAATATACTTATCTGAATCTCTACTCACGGCCCCCACCAGCTCTGAATGTCTAACCTGCTCCTCTGATTTGTAAACCTAGGGGGAAACCATCTCTCTCACCTAATGATCCCCCCTTGTTCTGAAGCTTTCTCTAAGCCCTCCCCCGGATGCTTCCTAGCACATTCCATTCTTTATGGCCCAGGGCCTGGACCAGACCATTGTGAAACCTGAACCCACACACCTGGGAGCGTGGCTTTGGATTCCATTCTTCCCAAGAGTGGGTTTCTCTGTCCTTGTCTCCTTTGCGTGAAGATGCCATGCCTTCCTTGGCTTCCATGCCTTTGGATCTTCCATATTCTTCCCCAAACCCCTAGACTTTGGAGATGGCCTCTCCCAGTCCAGGTCAAGGAGGTGTTGGGGGGAGGGCTACCCCTCTGTTCATAGCTGAGCACTTTCCCAGCCCAGGGTAGAGAAATCTTGGCCCTATCTTGACCCCCAAATCCAGTGATCCCCAGATTCTTCCAAGGCAGAAGAGGTGAATAGGTCATACCTCTTCCTGTCTCTACCTATGGCCTCTTCTGGGCTAAACCAGATTTGGGGGCCAGGAGGGAAGAGCTCCATGTGGGATGGAGAAGGGAATCTACTTTCTCCCTGTTTTTTTCCTGATGGTTTCTCCCAGACTAGACCAAATAGCCAGAAAAAAGATGGGGGTCGGATGGGTGGGTAAGCCCAAGATTTGCACATGACCTTCCATCCTTACCTTTACCCTCATCTTCCCTCACCAATCACTCCAGATGGTTTTGGGGGAGCCATTCTATTCTGCTGGTGGGCTTTGGGGTATCCCCACCAACTTTCCCTCCAGAATAGCACCTTATACCCCGTCTTTGACTCAGTTCCCCACACCCAAAGATCCCAGCCTAGGGATGGGGTGCAGGGACGATAGTCCCTAATCCCTAATTTGCACTAGTTAACCCTGGTCAGGGGTCCCTATACTTCCTTCCAGTGGGGGAGATGAAGAAATGTTTGCTCCTAATTCTCTTTGAAAACTGGGCCTCCCTGCTCTGTGATTGGATGAACATTTCCCATCCTACTCACCTCCCCACCAAAAAAACAGCTCACAAGGGAGAGCCTGTTTGGGGGAGCAAATTTGACAAATGGGAATTAGTGGAGTGCTTGTTTAAAAAGGGGAAAAGTTGCTGTCTTCAAATGGCAGCCTTTCCCCAGCTACTGTTTTATTGGGCCAAGATGGCTGCCCTTGCAGCAGTTGCTGGGAGGGCAAGATCATGGCTTCTGGAGGGAGGCGAGTTTAGAGGATGGCCAGGAGCATCCTGCCTCCCTCTACCCCTCCCAGCCCACAGGAAAGGGGAAGTTTTCGACAGGCTCCCTGAATGTTAACCATGGAGGAGACACTCCTTCATTCCTCTGTCTCTTTGCACTTTTCTTGGTCTTGGCCACAGCCTGAGTGAAGAATTTCCTACTGAATGTACCAAGTTCCAATTTTTAAGGGGGCGAAAAGTTTCAAACAGGGAAAAATGCAAAAAAAAAAAAAAAAAAATCACTAAAAATTCTCACAAATCTTGTTTCTGGCACTTTAGAAAAACTGCGAAAAAATACATAATAAAGAATACATATATATATCTACACACAAATTATATATATCTATATATACAGCGGAACCACAAGAGAGACTGAGGAAGGCCTAGAGGCAGGGGCAGATGTGATGACAGTGCCCCTATATCCTTAACCTGTACTCCTCTGAGGCAAACAGGCATGGGACAATGGAAGGGGTTAAGGATGGATTGGGGAATTTGAATTTCAGAATAGGTCAAAATTCTAAAACTATGGACATTTTGGGAGAATTGAGATTGTAGACAATTATTATTTTTTAAATATGATTAAGGAAAATAGCTTCCAGAATTTGGTGGTTCTGGGCAACAAATGAGATTGTGGCTAAGTGGAGATTAAAATATATGTATTTGAGCTGGGGAATTTGAATATTGTGAGTTTCAGATGTTGGAAATACGGGATTTTGCAGTTTTGTCTTTTGAAAATGATCAAGTCTTGTCAGTTTGTGCCCTCCTTCCCCACGTTCCCTGGGAAGAAGGGTGACGGCAGAGTGGGAAGGCCACTGGTTCTGTGCCACAGCACGCAAGATTTAGAATTCTACAGACTCTAGCTCTATACGTAGTGAGGACCCAGATTTAGAGAAACTGACCAGTATTTATCTCCGCATTTGTGTGTGTGTCCAACTCTCTAGGCCAATAAACCAACAAGACAAACAAACTGTGCTCCACAGTGGGATGCTAGGTGCAATTATTTGCGTGGCTGGTGGGTCTGGGGGGAAAAAGACATGCTAACCTTGTCCCACAGGGATCCCTGGGAATTGCAGCCTTATGCTCCCTCTTAGGATAACAACTTCCAGCAATGTAGGTGTGAGGGCTTGTTGACTCTAGGTACTTCGCTGTAATTGCTGTAGCCAGTAGTCTTAAGCCGACCTGGTTCCAACCTCCAGGCAGAAACATTAACAGATAAGTTCACATAGCCTGATGTACACAGCTGCTGGGCGCATGATCTGCATGTCCAGAATGGCCAGCCCTACCTTAAACCAGGTCTAACCCTTTTTCCAAATTGAAAGGAAACTGAGGCACAAAATGTGTGATGGTCATAAGACACAACCTTTCTTTTTCACACTCCCAGCCTACCCATTGGCTTTGACTCTTTGCCCCTCCTCCTTCCCCTGTATCTCTCCAAAATATACATACATACAGTTATGGGAGGATGGGCAGGTAAAATGGGTGAAGCCGGTGAGGTGGGGAGGGGCTTTGAGGAATTCTGGCACAAATAACTTGACCTGAGTAGGCAGCCACTAATCAGCTCTAGCATATTGCTGCCAACAGGGGAATTAGGCCTACTGGTACTATGGTTTTTCAAATTTTTTTCAAGGGAAGCCAGAAATCGAAATTTCTCTGTGAAATATCCAAATTTTAAAAGTAGCCAAATGGCCGGGCACTGTGGCTCATGCCTTTAATCCTAGCACTTTGGGAGGCCAAGCTAGCTCCAAAACCAAAGTTCCAAAACCAGCCTAATCAAGAGCTGAGACCCTGTGTCTACAAAAATTAGAAAAATTAGCCAGGTGTGGTGGTGCACATCTGTAGGAGGCTGCGGCAGGAGGCTCACTTGAGCCCAGGAGTTTGAGGCTGCAGTAAGCTATGATGATGCCACTGCACTCTAGCCTGGGTGACAGAGTGAGATTCTGTCTCAAAAAAAAAAGTAGCCAAATAATTCAATTTAAAATCATGCAGGCCAAACAAAACACAGTTGCAACCTCTGATATATACTGTATAGTACTTCTGTTCCCATTTTCTCATCTGATCTTCAGACAACATTATGGAGCATATACTATTATTAGTTTCATTTTACAGTTGTGGAAACTACATACAGAGCAGTTTGTTTGAGCACCAAAGCTACAACTTGGAGATCTTCAAAATGCTTTTTTTCTTATTACAAATACATGCTTTTAGAAATTACCTTTTTTTCATTCTAAAGATATTACTCATTACAAAATATAATTACAGAAATGTAAAAGTAGAAATGACCGCTAGTCCCAACATGCAAACCAAAGCACTATTAATTGGTGTATTTCGTTCTAGAAATTTTTTCCTTATTTATTCAACAAATGTTAAGCACTTAATATAGGTCAGGACCTGTGCAAGGTGCTGGGAATATATAGTGAACAAGACACATTTCCTACCTTCATAGTGCTCACAATCTAGTTCTTGTTCTTTTTTCTATTTCATTGGGGACCTTAGATGTTGATACCCAAAGAAGCTTCTTCAGGAACCCAAGGAAAAAAGAAGCTGATAGTGCATTTCGGGTGGGTTCAAGGCACCCGTTAGCCCAGCCCCCAGTCCAACTTCAGCTTCCTGCCCAGAAACAAAATAAGAGGGCTGGATTCCTAGTGAAGGAGTTCAGAGGCAGAGCAGGACAGGGCTTGACGGTACCGCAAAACTCTCAGGCCAACCGCCCCAGGCCCAGGTCTCTGCCCTGGAGACCTCAAGGAAAAGGGTCGGGAGGGGGCAAGTGGTACGTGGCGTCCAGGAAGATGACCAGGGTCCCAACGCTTGTGAAGATGATGAAGGTCCACAAGAAGAGGCGGTCCACTACCATGGCCACAAACTGCCAGTCCTCCTTCAGCTGGAGGGTAGGCAGAGAAATCTTCCACTTCCTGAGCTGCAGGCCCACACCCCCAGGGAAGCCCACCCCTACGCCTCCACGCCCCGCCTGGGCTCGCCAACCACAGGTTTGAGGCAAGAGCCGGCTGCGCAACAAGAAAAACGTGACTGCCGGTGATGGATGGGAGTAAAGAACCAGTCGGAAGGCAGGGGGCGGGACCAAGTGACGCAAACGTCCAATCAGAAATGAAAATAAGTGCTGGGGCGGAATTTGCGGGTGGAGCCAAGGCCACCGAGGCCGCGCCCTGCTCCACCCTCTGGACTTACCGCATCGTGGTCCTCCTGTTCCTGCAGCTGTCGAGCGATGTAGCTAATAGAGGAAACGACCTCCCGCAGCTCAGGCGGCAGCCCCACGGCCCGGTGTGGACCATCGATAAATCGCCGCAGGTCCGGGGCAGACAGTTCAGGCTGAAACCTGGAAGAGGCGTGACCGTTTGGCCGCGCCCCGGGCGCAAAGACAAACAGCCAGCGCCGGCAATCAAGGGCCCGCGCCACCTGCCTCCTCAACAACCTGCTAGTTCTCAAAACCTGAGAGGGCCTTCAGGTTCTCCCCGACAGCAGTGACCTCTCCAGCCTCCTGCAACTTCTTCCACCCCTCTAAGCTTTAGTGCCCACCCTCCCACAAAGTGAGCAGCAAGAGATACTACAACTCCCATGATGCGCAGGACGCCATCTTCCGGGAGCGCGGCCGCCCGCTTCCGCAGTCTAATGAGAACCAGAGTTCTCTGTCTCCCTTCTCTGTGAGTGATGGGTGTAGGTCCCACCTGTTGGGTTTGGGGAAGAGAAAATCACTCGGCGGCTTCCGGATGAAATATTCATCTGTTCCCCGGCCCCAGCCACTTCCTGGAGTAGAAGAGTGAAGGGGCTCTGGCATCTGATCTTTTTCAGGTTTGGGCCTCTTCAGACCCAGGTACAGAGGGAGTTTGTGAATGAAGATCTGCAGAATAGAAGAAGAGGCGTATTGGAGGGCGCTCTCATGCTTTCACACCAGAAGGGAAGCAGCCAACCACCCCCACTCCACATGCCCATTCCCGTGCGGTGCGTGCACATGGTTCCACAGAGCAACACGAACAAGGAAATGCAGCTATACAGCCTTAAGAGCTGTTTTAGTGGGTTGGGAGGCATCCTAACTGGAAAGAGAGGTTCCAAGGGCTTCCACCTTGACAGTATCTAATTCTTTTTTTTTTTTTTTTGGAAACAGAGTCTCACTCTGTTGCCCCAGCTAGAGTGCCATGGTGTCAGCCTAACTCACAGCAACCTCAAAGTCCTGGACTCAAGCAATCTCCTGCCTCAGGAAATTGGGGTTGGTGGGAGGGAGGAGTGATGTCTGGACAAAAAGCTAGGTACTAGGTTTCGGAGTTAACACAAGTTGAAGGAGATGTCTCTTACCAGACGGACCCAAAAGGGCATTTGGTGGGTGTGGGGTGAGCGATGGTGCAGGTTGAGAACCACAACACTGAGGATGACGGAAAAAGTGACGAGGACCATGGTAAACATAAGGTACTTGATAATAATGGGGACCGCCAGGGAGGTCTCAGGCACTTTGTCTGCCAGCAGCAGGAGGAACACAGTAAGGGTCAGCAGGGCAAAGATTGAGAGCCCCATCTTCTCTCCTTGGAGGGCAGAGGGGAAAGCAGAAGGGTTAGGCTTTGCCAGAAGGAACTCTCTATGGCATAATCAGTGGCCACTCAAAGACAGGCTTTTGTAAGGGCCATCTGCATTAGTACCTCCAGCCTGGACCTCTCCCCTGGACTCCAGACTCATATCCACCTGCCTGCTCAGCCTCTCCACTTGGATTTCCAGTAAGCATCTAAAACTTAACATGTCCAACACCTAATTTTCTTATTCTCTTACCACCAAAGTTGCTCCTCCCCTAGACTTCCCTATCTCATAAGTGACAACTCCTTCTTTCCTGTGGCTCAGACCAAATTCTTTTGAGTCATTCTCAACTCCTTTCTCTCTCTTCTTTCTCCCCCCACCCACCATATCCAATCCTTAGCAAACCCTATTGGCTCTACCTTCAAATATATCCTGAAACTTCAGGAATTTGCATGTCATCCTTGCGCAGGGGCCATGCTAATCTTCTCTGTATTGTTCCAATTTTAATATACGTGCTGCCGAAGCGAGCACAAATATATCCTGAAACTGATGACTTATCACATCTACCACTACCACCCTGGTCCAAATCACATACTTACCTTACCATAAATCCTGCCCTTCTGGTCAAAACAACCTTGATGTTATTTATATGTTAAACACTTGCTCACCATAAATCCTGCCTTTAGGCAAATTTCTGCCTTTCACTCAGGGGAAAGTGCCTTTCCCCACTTCACCGGTGGTATACATTTCTTCCCTGTGGTATTTTTTTTATTTTTTTTTTATTGAGACAGACTCTTACTTTCTTGCCCAGGCTAGAGTGAGTGCCGTGGCATCAGCCTAGCTCACAGCAACCTCAAACTCCTGGGCTCAAGCGATCCTACTGCTTCAGCCTCCCGAGTAGCTGGAACTACAGGCATGCGCCACCATGCCCAGCTAATTTTTTTTTTGTATATATATTTTTAGTTGGTCAATTAATTGCTTTTTGTTTTTAGTAGAGACGGGTTCTCTCTCAGGCTGGTTTCGAACTCCTGACCTCAAGCGATCCACCCACCTCAGCCTCCCAGAGTGCTAGGATTACATTCCCTGTGGTATATAAACCCTGGGTCTGAGAGGTAACAGTGCTCTGATCCACCATCTTGAGGCTGCCTGAGATATGACTTCTGTCCATAAGACCCTATGAAATGTTTCTTTCAGAGAAACAATTTGTCAGCCTCTTTCTTTAGCCTCTCAGCTCCCTTGGCCTTTGGGGATAGGTTTTCATATACCTAATCACCAAGGAACACCTCCATTAGAATATAAACTTAATGAGGTCAGAGATTTTTCCCTCTTTTATTCACTGATGCATTCCCAGTGCCTAGCACATTACAGATACTCAACAAATGTTGTTGCATGAATGAATGGACATTAGTAGCTTTTTCAGGAACTGTATAGCAATTTGAAGGCTCTAAAAATGAGACGAAGTATACAAGGATATGCCAGGTGGCTGATTATTCCTGTGACATACAACAGGCATTACAAACTTCATGGAAGGTATTGAAATACATTTTGTGGTCTATTCTACTGTATTCCTATAATGTTGGGTTCCAAGATTTGTCCTGCTCTAGGCAGAAGTATGTTCTAGAGCTGTAGCATTCTCCTCTAAACAGAGGACTTGGTGCTATAGAGGAGGAAAGCTCATTTTGAATACCACAGTTAAGGCTATCAGGTTTCTGAATCAGACTGGCACTGACCAGGGTTACAGTAATGACACTGCCTCTCTCTAACTGTGTAATGTCAGGCAAATTCCTTAAACTCTTTCAGCCTCTAATACCCTCCTCTGTAAAATGGAAATGACAATTCAGTACTTATCTGAGAGTTGTTGTAAAGATTGGAATTGAGTTAATACATGTAATATGGTAATTGAATTACCTTATAGCAAGTGCTCAAAAATAGAAAAAACTGAAACAAAAGCAGCCCAAAATCCAGTGCTTACATAGAACTTACTGAGTAGCAGGCATATAGTTCTATATACCTGGTGCATCCTCAAATTAATATTGTGCAATAGGGACAATGATTGATCCCAATTCCAGATCAGGAAACTGAGACTCAGAGAGATTAAGGAATTTGTCCAAGTTTACATTATACTGCCTCTTAGAGAAATTTTAGCTATTATTGTATTTCCAAGGGAGGTAGAATGTTGAAGGACTAGTAGGTGTCTGAAAAGTGGGTGGAGGACGCTAGGAATGAGGAAAAGGAAGGTGACAGTTATCTAAGCCTGGAAGTTTGTGGTAGAAATTCCATGGATGAGTGGCTAGGACACTAAAGGGAAAGAGTTCAGATTTCATTGGCTAGAGGGAATCCAGCAGCCAAAGAGAGGCAGAGCCTGAAGTTGAGTCCACTGGTGGGAGAGAAAACTTGGGTGGGATTGTTGAAGCCTAAGCCATGATGGTTTCAGTTGGCAGGAAAACCCTGCCTGGATTGAGGATAAAGAGGAAGAAACTGAACTAATGATAAAAAAGGGGCAGGACCCTTTCCCCCTTACCTGCATCTGGTGGCAGGTAGAAGACAAAAATGGCCAGGAGAGTGATGAGGATGCATGGGGCAATGACGTTGACCAGGTAGAAGAGAGGCTTCCGGCGGATGATGAGGTAGAAAGTGACTTCTTGATGCTGTCCTTCCCTTCCTCCCCTAGGATCCCCTGGAGGCTGGATAAGCCGAGAGGGTTTGTGGATAATCTCCCATTGGCCATTCTCTGGGGGTAGAGTGAGCAGAAGGGGACACAGATGTAGGAGCTGTCCTGGTTAGTGCCAGGTATGGCTTGCTATGCCACATCCTGGACCTGGGGCAGGGGGCTGATGTGATAAGGGACTAGCTATACACACTGGGCTGGGAAGCCCATATCTAATAAACTTGGACAAGTCTCCATTTCCATATTTATAAAATATAGATAGTCATACCCATCTTGCTGACCTCACAGGGTTGTATTGGGCATTGCTGACAGAGTATATTTATCAGCATGTTAGAAACTGGAAATCATAGAGCCCATGGATGTGGGAGTCAAGCCCACTCACCAATGAAGGTCCCTTCATGAATGTGAATTTCCTGCTGCTCTTGCCCATCAGGACCTAGGCCTGTCTGCAGGCTGATCTCAGAGCTGTCATAGCTGTAGGAACTGAACACCATAGTGCAGTTCTGCCAGTCAAAGGGGAAGTAGGTGACCTGGATGGAGGGGTGAGTTACTAGAGCTATCAGAGAACTGGCCAGGGCTGGTGGAGTTTGTGAGGTCATTGGGGGAGGTCACACAATATGGGGCACCAGGGAGATAGAGGTCACCAGAGGAGGTCGCAGGGAAGTGGGGTCACAGAGGAATTGGAAGGTTATTAAGGGAGGCCATTGGGAAAATGGAGGGGCATCATGAGGAAGACTGGGAACCAAAGAAAGTGTACAGAGAAGATGACACAATGGAAAATCAGGAGGGCAAATGAGAGATGAGAGTCACAGGGGATAATGGAGGCCGGATGGGAGAAGCTGGGGAGTCATGCCGTCTAAGGAGAAGGAGAGGGAGGGTTTCTAAGAGCTCCTTCAGCTTCCCATGCGGAGCCCAGAAACCTGGATGCTGCAGCTGCTGCGATAGATGCCTGGGGGTTGCCAGCGAACAGAGCCGTCGGAGGACACCACGACGTTGATGTACAGAGCGACATCAAAATTTCCGTCATTGCTGCAGGGAAGGGATCCTCTCATCTGGGATCGGGACCTGCCCTCCGGAGGCCCCGCCCCACCCCACCCCACCCCCAGCCTTGGGAAGATCTTACTTGTTCAGCAGCACCACGTCAGGTAGCCACACAGACTCTGCCGTGATGCGGAGCAAATCGATGCCGTCGTACTCCGCAGGGTCCCAACTCAGTCTGTAGTCAGTCCACTCCTAGAGAAGCAGAGGCTGAGGGGCTGTCGCGGCTGGAGGCCAGGAGGGGACTTGGGATATTCGAAGGAAGCTCAGGAAGGGAGTGCAAGGGAGAAGAGCCCGCTGGCAAGGGGGCGGGGTGCTGGCTAGCTCCGCCTTCACTTACTGTGATCCACAGCAGCTAATTTCCCTCCCCCCACCCCCCGCACGGGCCCCAATTTTTCACTCTGTAAAAATGAGGAGGCTGCATTAGCTAGCCTCTAAAACAGTGGTTTTCAAACTACAGTTCGTGACCCTTTGGTGGATGGGGGATCAAATTAGTGGCCCCAAAACAGTGTTGGAAAAAAAATTAGAATGAAAAATGCATGCGGCGCAACTTTCTTAGTGAAGATAGGTATTGTGTTTTTTTCAAGCTTCTGTTTCAGTAATAAATGTGTTTTCTGAGGTTGTGATATAAAAAATAATCTTACTGGGCTAGACATTCGAGGAAATTGTTAAAGGCAGCGAGACACCCTTTCCCACACCGGGGGACCTCCATACCAGGTCTAAGTACACCTTTGTGCTCATCTCTTCATCCTTCTCGTTCTAGATGGGAAAAATTTAGGAGCAGAGGTGAAGTAGAGTGGAGAGAAAAGAGAGGGCTCAGCAGACCAACCTCTCCCTGGAAACTCCACCCCCTTTTCTGATCCCCACCCTCTTAGGTCCAAGGCCCACCTCCTAGAAGCGGAGTTAGCTTAAGCCCCGCCTCTCCCTCAGAAACACCCTTCCAGCTGTCCGCCCCCGCCCAGCCCCTGCCTAGCTCGGCCCGGCCCCGCCCACAGCTCGAAACCCGCCCAGCCCGGAGTCTCCGCCCACTGCCGTTCAGAGCCGCTATTGGGCACCAAGCTCCGCCCCATCCCGCCATAACCTCCTGTGGCCCTGCCTCAAGGTCGACACCCCCTCCCAGCGCCAGTCCGTTGGCCTTCGGCCCCTGCTCTTCTTCTAGATCCACCCGGAGGCCCGTTTGTCACCTACCCGACTCTACAGCAGTTCTACCTAGCAGCCACGCCCACAGTTTGTCCATTGGTCCGATTTCCACCCAATCTTCGCTAAAGGCTCTGCTATTTCTCAGCTTGGCCCCGCCCAGGCCCCGCCCCCAGCATGTCCATTTGCCCCACCTTGCCTAAAGCCACGCCCCCCAGCCTGTGGACCGGCCTGACCAAACCCCCCGCGTGCGCCCTCACCAGGCTGATGAGTTGCGCCAAGCTGAGACCAATGCTGACCCCGACTCGGTCTCCCAGCTCCCGCGCCGGCCGTACGGAGCTATCATAGCCGGAGAAAAGTTTCTCGCGGAGTCGGCCCTCCGCCTCTGAGCCGCGGACACCTGGGGGAAGGGAACACTAACTGAAACCCTGGTGTCCAGCCACGACTGCTGCCCCTGTCACCGTCCCTTCGGAGCCCACACTCACCTGGGATGAGCGGCGTCCCCAGAGCCCCCAGCAGCAGGAGCAGCAGTACCCCTGGGGTCATAGCCTGGCCACGTTGCTCAGTGAGTTCGCTCGGAAAGCTGTCGGGACCGCCAGCGCAGGGGAAGTGACCAGGCGCCCAGGAATGTGCACCTGTTGTTGGGGGGCAGCTGCCAGTCCACCTGCCCCGCCCCCAGACTTGATCCCGCCCTGAGCAACTGCCGAAGCCTGCCACCCACAGATGACAGACAATATTTCAGTTGTATAAATCGTCTTTAATTGAGAAAGCGTGGAGTGAAGACCCAGTCTGCTGGGAGCAGAGCCAGGAGATGGGTGGAGCCTGAGCGGGCTTTGTGTGGGTGAGGGGGGCATCTGTTCCTCTTGCAACAAGCCAAAAGTAAAACAGCCCGGGGAAAGTGCCCTGCTTTTGAGCCCTAGCTATGCCTTAGGGCTTCCTCAGTCTATCCTGCCCAAGGCTGAGGCTACTGAGTCTCCCTCCTAGTTTACTAGTAGGTTCCCAGTCTTTCCAGGCCTCCCCATTAGCTCCCCATGTTTTTCAGAAAAATCTAGACAGGTCCTTTTTGGGTACCCCAAAGCCAGCTGAGGTGATAAGCTGTAAGGTAAAGCAAGTTCTATTTACTTAGAAGCTCTGGGGGTGCATGAGGTCTCAAGCCCAAGAGGTCCTCACCCTCCTTGACCTGACCTGTATGGGAGAAGGGTGGGACTTATTGCTGAATTGGGGTCTCCTCACGGAGAGGGCCAAAGCTGTGTCCCATTTGTCCTTTTCATTCTAGACCCATTACCCTAATGATCTCAGCTTTAAAGGGGACCTGGAAGGAATTCCTGCTGAGGTAGCTAAATATTCATGTCCCCCCAACTCAGACACAGGTTCATTCATGCCATGGTTTTGGCCCCTTCCCCATCCCAACTTCCCTACTATGAGCCAGGAAGCCTTCCCTAAATTCTGCCCATGCCCAGACTTTGTTTCTTCTGGCAGGACCCCAGCTGGGGTCCTGGGGTCCAGCTGGGTTAAAGGAACATGTACAAATAAGATTATTATTGTATATGGAAGAATAAGATTTTTAGAAAATTATCTTTAAAAAGCAAGAAATGGTTTTTGATTCATCCAGAACTTAGTTCTTAATGAATCATAGCTGGGCCCTTTCCAGAGCTCATCCTTAACAGGTATCACTTGAGAAGGTGGGAGGGTGGGTCTAGGATGTGCTCTAGAGCAATATTATGGCTATATAGGCCCCAGTTCCATCCTGGGAAAAGGGCTGAGAGTTATGGTCTATGTCCTAGAGCTGGAATTCAGGAGAAAGTATGGCTCCATAAAGGCCTAGAATACCATGCTCTCGAATTGGATATCTCTGGAAGAATGTTAAACCTGTGGTGATCTGAGAGTCGTCCTAGTTTAGGTCAAGGCCAGCAGCTAGCCAAGGCTCAAATCCAGCCTCTCTCTACTTGGAAATGAGGGGTCCATCAGGGTCAAGGATAGAATACTGATGGAAACAGAAAAAAGCCTGGCAGCATGCTGGCTTACCAGCACAGAGCCCTAGTGCAGAAATGGCCCTGGCTGGGATGTCTGGTGTTCCAGAACTTGTTCAGACCAAGGTAGAAGGTATAGTAGGGAAAGAAGGAAACTAATCCTAAGCTCCACTGGACCCATACATCTGTGGCTCAGTAGCAATAAAAAGGGGCAGAGGGCTCTGGGAACTGGCTAAGCCAGGGTTGGGGTGAGTTTATGCTCTGGCTCTGTCAGTTTGGCAACCCCCAGCGCCATCTCAGGAAAAGGCTTTGAGGGTGTGTGAGTGTGGAAAGAAAAAAGTGATCAGCTAGGACCATTTTCAGACATCCCACTCTCTGACCCTCTCCCTGGCCCAAGGATCTAAGGGTCTCAGCAGCCCTGGAAGTGACAGCCAGTCCCCAGGCCCCCTCAGGGTAGAGTACCTGGTGGGACCTGGCTGCTTAGGGCATGTGTGTGGCAGCAGGGGTGAGAGCAGGACTGGGAGACAGGCTCTTGTGGTGGCTGGCTCAGTGGGAGTGCAAGGAGCCTCCAGTCCAGGGACTACATTTCAGGGGGCAGGGGGACTGGAAGGGGAGGTCTCAGGGACACTGTGGAGAGAAGGCTCCCGGTACATGGCCACTGTGAAGGGGAGAGAGAGAGGAGCAGGGAAGGAGAGTTAGGCACAGAAAGACCCAAGCAGAACCAGTGCTCTGAAAGGGCTCCCTTCCCCTATACTCACCCTCTAGTAACCCCAACCCAATGGAGAAGTGCTCCCCAAACCCCTAAAGGCCAAAGCCTTCCTGGCTTGGCCTGTAATAACAGGGTCCTCTTAACACTTGTAGCCTGAGCTTTGTGTCCCTAAATGTCAAGGTCAATACCCACCCATATGGCCCACATTTCTTGAGTCTATATACCCACCCTCCAGGAGCTTGGGCACAAAGTGGGCGGCTGCCTTGGTCTTCTTGACTCGGTTTCCCTTCATGACCCGGCCCTCCTTGTCCAGGCCTAGGTACCAGGCCCGGCCAGAACGGCGCTGGCGGTAGAGAGCAGAGGCATACAGGACATAGTAATTCTCAAAGACGCATTCCTTAAAGCGACACTCAGCTGTGAAATGTGGCTAAAGAGACAAAGACCCAGAAAGGCACATACAGACAGAGAGACAAAAAGACACATCACTGGGCAGAAGAGAGCCCTTAGAAAGAATAAGCCAGGATATAATCCAGACATTTCTGGCAGGAGGGAGAGGGCAACTTCTGAGTCTATGTAGGAACTGGGAGCAAAGGGAGGACAAGAAAGAGCCTGGTGGCCCCTGAGGATTATGAACTAGATTTGGGGGGTCTTGGAATAAGATTCCTTCTCTCCACTCTACTCCCAACCTCTCACCACCCCTTATCCTGAATGACTCTAGAGAAGTGAGCAATAATGAAGTCTGGAGGAGGTGGGATGAGAGGCAGGAGCCCTAAAAGGCAAAAAGAGCTGAACATTCAAAGAGCTGGGGGTATGTGGGGGGCTGTGTGAGGGTTAGGGATTGGAGAGACCCTGGAGAAAGTGCTCTGGAGTGGGCAGTAGTGACAGGCCATCAGCAAAGGCTGGAGGGAGAGAGAGGGAGTCCTGGCTGCAAAAAACACGTGTGTAGTTGAGGAAGGGGAATCCGCAGTACCCGAGGCCACTCAGCCCCGTTGTCTCACCGAGCTGTAGAGCAGCCCCTCGGCATTCATGGCCATGTAGTGACCCAGCTTGGCACTCTGGATGGTGACGACACGGAGCCCCACAGGGATCAGGTTGAAGTGGGCTGGAGGTAAAGAAAGGGGACATCAGTACCCAGGCCGGTAACTCTCACCTGAGCTCCCCCTATCCCAGTTCCACTTCTTCCCTTGGGGGTCAGGGAGACAGAGTGACAACAGAACCTGAAGAGGGAAGGAGATTGTTGCCTGCTATCCCCAGTCTCCCCCTGCCCACCCGGCAGGCGGCTTCCCCTCTCACTGAAGGAGCTGGTGTCCTCCTGGGTGCCCTGGATACTCCCGTCGGGATTCGCCTGGAGGTAGAAACCCTGGCGGCAGAACAGTTTGGTGACGATGCCTTTGAGCTGAGGCTCTAGAGAGAGAAATTCATCTTTGAAAATGACATCTCTGTTCCCAGAAACATTCCTACACTAGGCGGGATCAGAGGAAAGAAAGGAGAATGAGTGGAAGGAAGAGGGTCTGAGGCCTTGGCTCCCTTCCCCTCCAGCAAGCTCTCTCCCACCTCTCTTTGACCCCTGGGGGAAGCTAGGGGTGTGGGTCCCTTTAGTTTCCTCCAACCACCAGCTTTCAGTTTAATTTATTGAAATTTATTTAAATGGCTTAATTCCTACCCTACAGCTCAACCAGAAGGGGGGAGGGGAGTGGGAGGAGGAAGGGGAGAGAGACATCAAACGCAGCGGACAGAGGAGACAGGGCTACTGAAGGAGCAGTGTTTGCAAGTGTGTGTGTGGTGGTGGCAAGTGGACCACAGGGTAGGGGCTCTCATGAGTGGGGGTGGGACAGGGCCTGACGCTGACTCAGCACCTGCTGCTACTGCGGCTGCCGCTGGCTTGGCGCGGGCCTTGCCTTGGCCCAGCGCCGGCCTGTCTGACACTGACCCATCTGTCTGTCTGTCAGTCTGCTGGCTCGCGGGGGCCCAGTCCTCCCTGAGGCTCAGCCTCTCCCCTTCAGCCAGGTAACCAGCCTGGGGTGGGGGGACCTTCGGTACCTTATGAAGGAAATGGGGGGAGAGGGCTGAGGAGGTGGAGAAGCAGGCTGAGTCACGTGGGGGCCCTGTCCCACTCAGAGGGTGGGCTGCGGATTGTACCATTACGGACGGGGGAGAGGGCGCGAGGGGCTACCCCTAAGAGAGCTGGGAGAGGGCGGGAGCGGGGGCCAGAGTCCTCTCTGAATGTAGCACCTGAACAGGGACCACACGCTAACCCTCACAACTCTCCTCCCCCGCCGCTTGCTCTCTGCCACTTCCCTGTCCCCCCTGGTAAGTGGTACGACCCCCAAGTCTCCGCGCCCATCTCCAGCGGTGAACTGTGTCTGAGTTCCTACCGGCGTAGGGTCCCCTGAGCCTGTGGGGCCCAATTTCGGAGTCACGCGGGGGTAATGGGAGTGGGCGCCCAGTTCCCGTCTTGAAGCGCAGGTCACGGGAGGAGGGCGCAGAGAGGGCTGGCTGGCGAGGTAGCTGCAAGGACACCCGAGGGAGAGCTGGGGAGATTGGCTCTCCGCCAGGAGAGCTCGACCGGGAGGAACCGCGCCAAGGCGTGGAGAAGCGGGAGAACCGGGAAGGGGGGCGGGGCGGGGCGGATGGAGCCGCAGAAACCCTCGGGGTGACCCAGGCGTCCGGAACCCCCAATCTGGTGTCCTCCGCTCCAGATTGAAAGAATCGCGAGAGCCGGCACGTAGGCGAGGACGGTGGGGGTAGGGACTCCTGTGTTGGGGGGGCGGGCAGGAACTGCGAGGTTTCGGGGCGTCAGACTTAGCCGCTCAAGCCTTCCGCTTGCCCTCGAAAGCAAGGAGACTCCGGGTTATGGACAAAAGAGAAGGGAAACTGAGGCATAGTCTGGTAGGGACTTTGTCGTCCTGGCCCACCCCTTCCACTTTCGGGGAGTCCCCTCAGCCAGGCCCTATTCTTCAGAGTCCCTAGCCTCAACCTCCCAGGCAGAGAGACCTCTGGCTCGGAGACCTGCCCCAGCCGCACTCACCAGGGCCGCGGTCCGGCCGCGCGGGCCGCCCCCCGCACAGTCGCACCTTGGACAGCAGGATGAGGAGCTGCTTCTGGCAAAGGGACTTGGTGCCGCGGGGACACACGCGCCGCTGCGCCGACACTGGCCGGCTGCCCCCGGGCTCGCGGACCTCCCGCTTCTGCCGGATCAGGCTACTGGCCAGCGCCGCCATGGCGCCCCGGGAGGAGACACCCCCAAACCGGCAGGCGCCCGGAGCGCGCTGGGCTCCCCCAGAGGAGCCCGCTCACCAAGGCATGCTCTTGATGCTCAGGCCCGGACTCACTGCCCCACCCACAGGACCTGGGGATAAGCCCCAGACTCCCCGCACCCTATCCCCTCAGCAGCCAGTTCCCACCCTTGGGACCCCTGCTAGCTGACCCTGCAGCCTATGCACTCTTCAGTTCACCCCACCCTCGATTTTGCCCCCTACTGAAAACTCCCCTCCTCTCCAGTGTCTGTCCCCACTTCCCCTACCCCAAAGCCAAGACCCCCCAAATTTCCAAGATATGGTTCCAATATCTCCCGGCACCTTCCCACTCTATTTCGAGGGCATACTGCTGCCAAATACACTCTTATAATCTAAAGGGGTGGGACCTTATATTTGGGGATATTAGCTTACCCTACCCCTACTGGGGCGCTGCCAATGTCAGTGAGGAACCCAAGCTTGATGTTTTTTCCTTTGCTACCCACTAAATGGAGATCCCCCACTTATTCTCACTGAACCCCCCCATAATATGTCTCAGAATATCTAGGTTGTCCAGGTTCAGTGGGGATTCCCAGATCCTCTGGCTGGACAATATCCTTTTCACCAAGTCACCCCTATTCCCAGCAGCTCAGGGCTGCGGCTGCCCGGACCCTTTCAGCACCTGGTCACCCTACACTCCTTTCGAAGTCACCTCCAAATCCGCCCTTCCTAGTGAATACACCAGGTGGTTGTCTGGAGGGCCCTCTGTCACCTCGAAATAAGGAGCAGCCTTTTTTTTTCTGGCTGGCCCTTAAATTTCTGTGGGGACAGCTGGTGCTGTATAGATCCCACGCCCTCCAATCGAACCAGCCCCCCAAGAAGAGTGCACCCACGTTGTCACCAGTCCCCAAATGTGAACAGGCCCCCCTACAAGTCTGAGAACATCAGAGCTTCCTGCGACAGGGCTTCCTCATTCTCCCAGGGACTGCCTACAGCACCCCCTCTTTCCCCGACGCCCCTCAACCTGTCCTGTCCTGTTGATCCGGCGACGGGTGGCGCTGGCTCCGGCTCCGGCCTCCTCCCTCCCTGTCCCCCGCAAGCGGAGCTTCCCCCCACAACCGGCTAGGCGTCCCGGACCCTCGGGAAGGAGTGACAGTGTCTCTGCAGAGCGCCCCGGTCCGGCGAAGTCGGAGCACTGGGCCTGGCGGCTGGACCAGGCAGGGCAGCGGCGGCAGCGGCGGCAGCGGCAGCGGCAGTGGGAAGCTGAGGCGGCGGCGGCGGCGACAGCAGTTCCCCCTCCTCGGAGAGCCGGCCCGGGGGCGGGGCAGGGGGCGGAGACGCTGGGAAAGAGGAGGGTGAAGCTGGGCATGAGGAACCCTGGGGTTCCTTGGAAGCTGAGAGTGGGGACTGTGTCTTAGAGGCAGGTGGATCCGACGCAAGGCCGCACGTCTCGGGGTTCGGAGAAGAAGGGACGCTCAGAGTCGCCTCCCGAACGGAGCCCTGGATGCAGAGGAGAGGTTGGGCTTAAGATAGATGGAATGGCGGACGCCCGGAGAATAAAGAGAGGGACCCTACTGGGATGGAAGTGAGGACAGAACTGAATGAGGAAAGTGGGGGGAAAAACTGGAGAAATGGGGGAGGGGTGGTGGTGACATCCAGTCTGCGGCGAAATTTGGCCTTCTAAATTTCTTTGCTTTTGTGTAAGCTAAATTGATCAGTCCCTGGTCTTCGTATCTTTCCTTTCCGCGTTTTGGTAGCAAATATATTCCTTCCGTTTCTATTGACTCCTAATAGAAAAGACCAAAAGAACTGGGGAGAGATGGTTGCTGAAAGCTGCCCCCGGTGGGGAGGAGCGCTGGCCACAAATTTGGAGCGTGGAGAGGCCAGAATGAGACGACCTGTACCAGGGGCGGGGTGGGGTAATGGGAAGGAACCGAGGAGGTTCTAGAAAGGGAACTTTGGGCCCAGGGCAAACAGTCAGTCCCCCAGACGAAGGGCAAGCAGTCCCCTCCACATCCCACTCGCCAACGCAAGCACTTTGCACTCTGGTAGGAGCAGCGTCTTTAATGGGCCCCGCCCCCCACGCCCGCTAAGCCGCCCCCCTTGCGCGCAACCTTGGCCTCCTCTACGGCGGTCCGCAGGGCCCGGGCAGGGTCCCCGCGGAGCCGGGCCAATGCCCCGAGCAGGGTAGCAGAGCCGTCCCCCGCACAGAGCTTTCGGCCACTCAGAAAATAGTGAGGCAGCGTCCCGGCCTCGAGCACACGGCCCAGCTCGTCTAGCAGCCCGAGGCAGCAGGCTCCCGCATTTTCTGGCCGCGCCAGGTAGAGCGCGGGCAGCCGCTCGCACGCCCAGTACAGCAACGTCCGCAGGAGGTAGGGCGCCGCGGCCCGGGTTCCAGCCACCAGCGGGCGCAGTAGCGCCTGGGCCGCCGCGTGCGCCTGCAACAGCGGCGAGGGTATGCGCGCTTTGAGCGCCAGCTCCTGGCGGGCGAAGCAGAGCTGCCAGCTGGAGGCGCCGGCCCGCTCCGTGCCGCCGCCGGGCACCAGGTAGAAGGAAGCGGACTCCGAGGCCAGCGGACCGGCCCACGAGTGGCTACGAGCCCCCTCGGGCCAGCCAGCCACCGACACCACCGGGATCAGGTCGAAGAGCAGGACGCGGCGCGGGGGCCCTGGTGTAGCCAAGAGGACCGTGGTGAAACCCGCGTGGCGAGCTGCGTGGACCAGGAGCGGGGCGCCCGGGACAGGGATCAAGGACTCGGCGACTGCGGCCAGCGTAGCGAAGAACCAGGAAGCCACCTGGGCGGGGCACAATGTGGGCCACGCCTCCCAAGCCTCCGACGGCTTCGGGACTGGGCTTTCGACGGCGGCCTCGGTGGCGTCACTGCTCAGTGTTTTCACTCGGTCGGGAGAGCCAAGGTCGGTGACGTCATACCGCGGCGACTCGGACACCGAAACGTCACCAGGTGCCTTTTCCAAAGGCACTAGCGGCTGGTGCTCAGCGACGTAGCGCGGCTGGTCCACCGAGCTTTGCCAGTCCTTGGTACTTTCTGTGCTCTCGGTTGGGTGGATCAAATCACGTCCTCCAGGGACTGGAGGTCCTAGGCAATCCTGCCACGTTTCTCGGACGGAGGTGCCACACACCAGCTCCGGGAGGCGGAGCCGTGCGTAGCAAGAGTCCAGGTCCACTTGCAGCTCCCGCCCAGTGCTGTCCAGCGAAAACACGGGCACTAGGAGTGTGAAGCCGGCGTCGTAGTGAGGTCCCCGGGCGTAGGGACCCAGGGGCGCGTGCCCCAGATCCAGGGAGCCCTCGCGAACCCCACCACGAAGAAGCAAGAGCTCTGCCCGGGGAGGAAAACGGGGATCCCGGCGGTGAACTAGACCTAAAGAAAGAGAAGAGACCGTGAGGGCGTCGTCCAAAGGGGCGTGGGCGTGGCGAGGCTGAGAGCTGTGAGTTCCCAAAGGCAAGAAGGGTTACTCACCAAGCAGAGAGAAGACAAAATCCTTGGCCCGGAGAAGGTCTGCTCCCGGCTTGGGCCCGTCACTCCAGCTCTCCTGTACACCCAGCTCCTGGATCAGCTGGGTCAGTTCCTGCAGCTGGGCCCCAGAGCAAAAGTCGATGTCCGTGAGCGGCCGGGCTGGGGCTGGGGGTGGTGGACCCCACCAGGGTGCACTTCCCCAGACCGCGGAAGCCATGCAGCTCTATCGCTTTGGGCTAGGGAAACACGGAAAGGAGCCTAGGTGGGCCTTTCCTCTGCAGCCAAAAAGTCGCCCTCGATCCTCCCTCTTTCCGAGGCCGAGCGAATGTTCCAGACACAGTCCACTAGTAGGTCCGCAGATGATGGGTTCTATATTTAGTCTTCACAATGAACAAATAAATACCTCCTCTATTCTTGCCCTTTTCTAATATGCAGGTCCCCGCCCCCGTGAACCGGCTCACCTGAGTCAGCAGGTAAAAAGTAGCTGTTGTGCCCCTTCTACGAAATACAGTAGCCAGTCTCTGCCGCCGCCCCTAGTCTCTCCCCTTACGTCTTTTTCGCAAGAGGCGTATCGGTCTGCGGCTTCCCCCTTAGGGGCAGATGCAAGGGTGGGGAACAGAAAGGATAGGACAATTCAACAGGTAACTTCTTCCTGATGCCTACATAGCCACGCCCCTAAAATTTGGGCCTTCCCCTTTCTGGAGGCTGTAGGGGCGGCTCCGCCCGGGTCCCGCCCCCAGTCAGAGTTCAGTCACTCCTTTCGCCCTGCTGAGCTCTCGCGTTATCCTGGGAATTGTAGTTCGTTTCCCGCGCTACTAGGGCGTTGGAGCCACGCCCCCGCATTCTTTCTCGTTCCGCTGAAGTAGTGCCTGATGGAAGTTGTAGTTTCTCTGGAGATAGACTATTCTGTGTCTTTTCAAGCCCAGTTCAACCCCACACAGACATTCCTTGGGGTTGGAGTAAAGGCGTAATAGGATGGATAGCTGAATAGCAAACAATAATGAGGGATATACTCTAGGACCTGGGGAGAGATGGGGCCCCTGCATCCCATGTATGAGTACAGGAGCCTTGGTCATTTAGATCTAGCAGGTTTCCTCCGTGCAATTATAACTTCCTCATTTTGTGAACGAGGAGATGGCAGCCTTGAAAGTTTGCACATGACTTGTCCACGGTCAGAGCTAAGCCAGGGAAGTGTTGGAAAGGGGTTCCCTGACTGGGTGGAGAAGTATCTTCTTGTAATCAATGGTGGTAATGTTAGGCAGGAACAGACAGGTGGCCAACCAGAAATGAACATCTGACTCATGTAAGAGATGTACATATTAGTGATGCCCACCTCAGGTCACTCCAACCTGAGTTGTGGCAGGGAAAATACTTTGGAGTCTCAAAATTTATGCGTGTACACAGAAGAGTTATCAGGGCTGAAAGTCAAGTCCAGAAGAAATTACCAGTTGGGCTGGGGCAGGGCAATGGGAAATTATCAAGGGCAAGAAATTGCTTTCAGCAACCTATGCTATCGGAGACCAGAACACAGCTGTGACTCCTGATAGGCCCCAAAGACAGGATAATGGGACAGAAAGGTAGGAAACCAGGGGCCAGCTCACAGATCAGACCAATCCGTCACTGGGCTAGGACTTCTTATGTTCCTTCTGCATGCGGTCTGTTTCCAGAGTGGGGTAGGCCTAGTCTATGGGCAAGTGAATTAAGCAGGGACACCTAGAAAAATTAGAGACCTATAAAGGAAGGGACTCCTGAAATCTGGAGCTCAATTTGGAAAGCCCAGACCTCAGGGATTCCTAGTCACTGACACACAACCCCTCAGTAACCAGGGTTGGGGTTCCCTGGGAGAACTGAGAGCATGAAAACACAGCCTAGAATTGGGGAAGTAGGTTTCCATACATATACATCTGGTTGTGACCCGAGGGCCAGATCAGAAGAACACAGTCTGGGGTAAGCAGGCATCAGGCATTCCTACATCTCACCTCCTCTCCAGAAGGTGGCTTCTGAGCCACTCCTTTTTTTTTTTTTTTTTGAGACAGAGTCTTACTCTGTTGCCCGGGGCTAGAGTGTGGTGGCATCAGCCTGGCTCACAGAAACCTCCAACTCCTGGGCTCAAGCAATCCTCCTGCCTCAGCCTCCCGAGTAGCTGGGACTACAGGCATGTGCCACCATGCCCAGCTAATCTTTTCTGTATATTTTTAGTTGGCCAATTAATTTCTTTCTATTTTTAGTAGAGACGGGGTCTCATTCTTGCTCAGGCTGGTTTCCAACTCCTGACCTTGAGCGATCCTCCCGCCTCAGCCTCCCAGAGTGCTAGGATTACAGGCGTGAGCCACCGAGCCCGGCCTGAGCCACTCTTCAAAAGAACTAAATTCTCTGGACTCTATGGGAGCTTTGAAGACGTTTAGAGTGGATAACAAGGGAAAGGAAAGTTCCTCTAAACTCTCAAGCATTGCTCTCTAATAGAATTTTTGCAGTGATGGAAATGTCCTGAATTGTTGCAGTCCAATACAATAGCCACTAGCCACATGTGGCTATTGAGCACTTGAAATGTGAACAATTAATCTAAGAAACAGAATTTTACATTTTATTTAATTGTAATTTACATTTTAATAGCCACATGTAGCTAGTAGCTACTGTATTGGACAATGCAGCTCTAGGGCCTTGAGGATAATGGGCTTAGCTAGGTGGCTATGGAGAAGGAGGAGGGACATGATAGTTCCAGTCCTAATCAGGTTCTGTGGGTGGCTAGCATCAGGGATGGGGTAGGGTAGATGTCCTCAAACAACCACAGAACTCTTCTCTTGCCTCTTTATTCTTGATGCACATTTGTCCCCTCTTTGTCCAAGGTCCTCATCACATTTTGATATCCCCACTCCTTGATGGCTTCCCCTGAGTTGCAGGGTGCCTCTTGGCGAACGCGCCTGGGAGACAGAGCTTCACACTTGTCCCTGCCCATTGTCAACTGTCTCTGGCGGGCATCAAAGACCACATGCCCTCCCCGGGTACCTGGTCCGGGGTAGAGGTACTTCCCATTGATTTTGGGAGGCATAGATACCTGACGATAGTTCTGGAAGCCTGAAGGAATTGTATCCACAGGGCGGAACACCCAGTCTTGGCTGCCTGCCCGCCGGCAGGATGGCTGCAGCTCTATTAGTACAGGTACCTCTGAGAAGGTTTGCAGGTCACTGGAGATCACCTGGGTCTTGTAAGGGCAGGAGTTCTGATTGAGTGGTGCAGAAGTGCAGGATATGTGCTGCTCTTTATCCTCCTTCTGAGGAGCCTTCTTGGATGCAGATTTTATCTGGGACTGTGTTGACTTTGAGGTCTGAAGTGGGCATAAGCCTTGGACAGCTTTGGCAGCTAGAGCAAGGTTTGGGCCCTTGTGGAGGCCAGATTCCTGGGTAAGGCCTGAAATCTTGGGGAAGCCAGAGTCTTGGACAACAGTGGGGTCCTTATGAGGGCCAGGATCTTGATTAATTCCTGGGTACTTGTGGAGGTTAGGGTCTTGGCTATATTCTGTTCTCCTGTAAACTCCAGCATCTTGGGTAGGCCTCAATCTCCTTTCACCTTCAGTAGCTTGGGTAAGGCCTGGACTCTTGTGGCGTTTAGAATCTTGAGTAAGACCTGGGACCCTGCAGACACCACAACCCTGGCTATGGCCTGGATTGTTATAGTCTCCTGAGTCTTGGGTAAGGGCTGAGCACTTTGGGAGATCAGAGGTTTGAACAAGGCCTGGCCTCTTGTTGACTTCAGAGTCTTGGGCAAGGTATGAGCTATTCTGTGGTCCAGAGTCTTGGGTAAAGCCTAGGGTCTTATAGACTCCTGGATTTGGGACACTGCCTATACTCTTGTAACCTCCAGAATTTTGAGAAGGGCCTTGGTTCTTTTGGTGGTCAGTTGCCTGGCAGAGATCTTGACTTTTGTAGACTATAGTCTTTTGGTTTTGTTCAAGATTCCTACAGACTCCAGAATCTTGCATAAAGCCCAAACTCTTCTGGGAAGTTTGGGTAAATGGTATGTTCCTGTGGAGGCCAGAGGGTTGGGTGAGACATGGCCTCCTAAAGACACCAGCATCTTGAGTAGGACCTGGGCCCTTTTGGGGGCCAGAATCTTGGGTGATGCCTGGATTCTTGTGAAGGCCAGAGTCTTCAGAAGGTCTTGGATTCTTGCAGAGATAAAGGTCTTGGGTAAGGCCTGGGAACTTATGTAGGCCTGGATCTTGAGCAAGACCTGGATTCTTGTGGAAGCCTGGATCTTGGGTAAGGCCTGGGTTGTTGTGGAGGCCTGGATCTTGGGTAAGGCCTGGGTTCCTGGGAACTCTAGAGTCTTTTGAAGGGCATGGGGTCCTTTGAAGGCCAGGGTCTTGGGTAAGGCCTAGACTCTGAAGTTCAGAGCGTTGGGATTGGATCTGGATTTGGGAAATAGCGGAGAACTGGGGAGGCATGAGGAGTTGGGAAGGAGGGATGCACTGAGGAGAGTTGGAGGTTGGGAGAAAGGTGGGGGTTTGTGTTAAGGTGGAGGGCTTCTGATGATTGATAGGTTGAGGAAGGACAAAGGATCTAGGGGGAACAAGTGGCAGGGAAAGAGTGCATGGTGGAGGAAGGTTACACAGTGAGCTCCGGGCAGTGGTTGGAGAATGAAAGCAAGGTTTAGAAGATGCAGTATCCTGAGAGTAGACCAGGACCTTGGGGTAGACTGGAGACTGGGAATCTGTATCCTTCCTCTCAGAACTGCAAGGATGTAAGTTGCAGTAAGGGAAGGTCTTGGGCTGGGAGAACTTGTCTTTGGCATCATCTGAGATCTGCCATGCCATATTTCCCAGCTCCAGGTAGCCCAGTATGGATCCCATATGAAGCCTGGCACTGTCCTCACTTTGTTGCTTTGATGTTTGCTCAGATATACCAGAGTTCACCAGGCTCGGACCCTCTTGGAGCCTGGAGAAGAAACTTAAGTCCTTTCTGGAATACCCAGAGTTCTGGGGTGTACACATACGGAAGAAGTTCTGCTTTGCCCTACGGGCATCATAGACCACATGGCCAGTGGAGAGGCCATGGCTAAAGGCAGACAGGGTAGAAGGAATAGGAGTTAGGATAGGGGTAGTGGTGGTGGCAGGCACAGGAGCCTGGGGTGGAGTAGTACTCACAGCCATGACATGTGCTGGGGCAGGGGTTGGGGCAGGGTCTGGTGCAGGGGCTGGTGTAGGAGCTGGTGTATGAGCTTGGGCAGTAGCAGTGGCTGGGGCTAAGGTTGGGGGAGGGGCTGGGGCAGAGTTAGGGGGAGGGGCTGGGGCAGAAGTTGGGACAGGAGCTGGGGTGTGGGCATGGGTATGAATTGGATGAGAATGGTCTGGGACATATGTGGAGGCATGGGATGCTCTGTGCTCAGGGGCCTGGGCCTGGGAGTGGGTGAAGGCATGTGTGGGGGTGTGGACTGGGGCAAGGGCTGGGGCAATGGCTGAGGTATAGCCAGGGCTGGGGGCCTGGGAGTGGGTGTGCTCAAGGGTATATGTCTGAGAGTGGGTCTGGGCCTGAGCTGGGGCATGGGCTGGGGTGTGGGCTTGGGTGTGGTCTAGGTTCTGGGCTGGGATGTGGGCTGAGGAGTGGACTGGGGTAGGAGGTGGGGTAGGGGGTGGAGCAGGGGTAGGGGCTGGAGCAGGGGTTGGGGCATGGGATTGGGTATGGGCTGATGCATGCTCAAGGTTCTGGGCCTGAGAGCGGGTGCACTGAGGGGTATGGGCTGGGGAGTAGGTCTGGGTGTGGGTGGGAGTGTGCTCAGAGGTGTGGGCTGGGGAGTGGGTCTGAGCCTGAGTTGGAGCCTGGGCTGGGGCATAGTCTGGGGTCTTAGTCTTGCTCTCTTGGGGCAAGCGGAGTGGAACCATGTCCAACTTGCTCATCTTTGGGAACTGGGAAGATATCTCTGGCCTGGAGAGGAAGGAGGTTTGGCTCTTTAAGGCTGTGACCTGAGGGGCCTCCCCAGCTCCCATCATCCCCTCCTTCCACAATCCCCATGGAGCCTCCATGGGAGCCCCAGCATGTCCACAGTGAGGAGGCATCCAGCAGCACCTAGAAACCTTCTCATCATTCGTGTCTGGCATCCAGGAGTCAAGGTGGTTAGCATGCCTGAGCAGGAAGCTTGGGCGACGATGGAAGCGAGAAGAGACTCTTGAGCACAGGTTCTTGGGATCCGTGGAGCAGCGCATACACATTGGGTGGCTGCCTATACCACTGGGTTGCTTGTCTGCAGGGAGAGGTGAGACAGGTCAGGGCCTGGGTTCCTTAGGGACTGAGAACCGGGACAGGGATGGAAGAAAGGGACAGGCCCACATCCCTGGGAGCCCATGCCAGGGCCCACTCACCTTTGGGGAAAAAATGATGGAAAAGAGTCCTCAAGGTGCTCTTCAGATGCCTCCAGAGCTGAAGGGAGCAGGAGAGGGGAGAGTCCGGAGGTAGGGTGAGCCCTGGAGTCCAGCCCTTGTCTGGCCATATCCCAGCAGCCCTCCCCTCTTGGCCTCTTTGAGACCCCAGAGCTCCCCCAACCCTGCTGCCCAGACCCCGCCCTGACCAGAGTCACCACGTTGATCCCCACGTTGAGCAAGATGAAGCTGCCCAGAATCAGAAGAATTGAGTCTCCTAAGTCCTGGCACTTCCTGGGGTTGGTGCCAGAGCATACTTGGGCTCCGTGGTGGGCTCGCTCACCCATGGCCTGGGGTCCCAGGACTACCTGGGCCCCCTGGCCCCCACATACTCACTAGGAGCCAGACTTCTGTGGTGGGGGAGGGGAGAAGGACCGAGTCATAATGAGGCAGGTGGTTGGGGTCATAATGAGGGAAGTCAAGGAAAAGGAGGGCCCAAGGGTGGAGTTCTCTGGCAACCAGCTTTGAGTAATCTGAACATGGACAGTCAATCAGGGCCTGGGAGCCAGTGCACCTGCCCTCTCTCAGTCACTCCCTTGCTGCCCAGAGGCTGACCGACTCACTCACTCACTCACTCCATCATTCCTGCAATTTCCACTGACAATCCTG